ATTTAGAAATAATTGAATTTCAGACATCTATTAATTATTGAAATTTAATTAAACTTTTTTTCATGCGTCAATTACTTAATTAACCATCTAATTAATACACAACCATCTTTATAAAAGATTAGAAAGCTAAATAAAGTAATATTCTCTCACAATTACACCTACTTGTGTCACTTAAAAGTTCAAGGTTACTCTTACTTATCAAACATATTTTTCACACATAATTTTCACAGTTTTTTACATAGGTATGTATTATCTAATAAATACCAACTTATGATATATGTATAATTTAAAAATCTATCAGACCGAGTCTATATAAAAATATAAAAAATCATATAAATATATAAATAATATTAATTACCAAGTCTATATATATTTATTAACATTGCAAGCTTCTTTAGACTTTATTATGCTGAATGTTTCACAGTGCCGTACGATTTTTAAAATATTGTAAATCGAACGTGTGATTGGAATATATTAAAATATAATCGATGGAATAAAAAAAACTTTTAAATTACCCTTAGAAGATATGATATTCGTCTGTAATTACTAACAATGATGCAAAAGATAACGAAATGAAAGCCGTTACAAGTCGTCCAGACGATGACATTAACAGAAGTGTATTTTTTTACAATGCAGATGGAATTATAAAAGCCTCTAAATACTTGAATGCATGCATTTTAATTACAGCAAGTATTTAACTACCAGCTTTGATTTTTATAGCAAAGAGACTAAGCATGAACTCACTTACAACTTAATTTTACATTTATTTTCATCACCCTATTACATTTTACAGTGAAGAAGGAACCAATTGAAAGCAAGTAAAAAAAAAAAATAAAAAGGGAGAGATTGTTATAAAAAACAGTCATAAATCATGATGGCGGCGAGAAGTGTGCGCGTATGAGTGGCTGAATGTTCAAAACCGCAGTCTCGCCAAAGTGACGGTGCTTGCTAGCAGTAGTGTTTAGTGATAATACGTTTGGAACTTATGGTGGTGGCAGAAATACACTGTCGAGTATGCTGGTTGGTGCATGCCGACTCCGCCCCGTTACGATCATGATAAAGACCACTATTATATTACTCCCACGCGACAATCTCTGCCTTAATCCCCATGTTAACAATACGGTAACTAAATATTGTACTTGTGCGAATTTTTCTTCTTCTATACTTTTGTCGATTGTCAATTGACTATTCAAGACTCCAATCTTACTTATAGCCTCTAGATCAATCCAAATCACAAGTGACCAAACAATCAAGCAGTTAAGTCTGCTATAGATCTTGAAACCAGGTAGAGCTTGATGATGGCTAATCAACTAAGTGAACTCCAATTTGATGTCAAATTAATCAGAGGAAAATAGTTTGAATAATGAAAAAATGCAATTTAGCAATCGATTAATCCAATTCGATTTCACCGAAATAGAAATCATTTACAGATTGTTTTTTTTGTAAATATGATTTTCTAAATAATGTATAATACTGATGACGATCATTGATTGAATTGGATTAAATTGGTAATTTCATCATTGCAATTACCAATCAGTTTGAATTTATGTGAATTAATGTCACCATTGAATAAATTCTATTTCGCAAGAAATGAGCTTAATTTTTTGATGAACCTTCCTACTGACACCATGTAACCATGATAATGTATTTAACAAGCATAAAAAAATAATTACAATGATTTATCTGTCTTATTAAGAACTTCATCAAATGATGAGATTGTTAATTAGAAAAGCCTAATTTATTTAGTTAGGTTGAACATTTCAAAAACATCAAGATGATGGATAAACAAATTTAAGATTGCATGTGCATCAAAGCTTCCAGGAGCTCTAGATAAAGAATAATCCAACAACTTAGATACCTCGAATCACAAATTAATTATCTTTATCAGAAACTTCTTAGTTTGGTAATAACTTTTCTCTATTAAACTAGTGATAATAAGAATATTTTGCTAATCTACCATACATCAAAGATTGATCATCAATCAGTTTCCAAATTCATCAAAGCCAAAACATAGAAAACACTAAGAATAATCAATTCCAATAAATCCACTAAAATGCAATAACTTCTGTATCTCCAACATTTGATATACATAATATATGTCTCAGAGAAAAAAACTTAAGTAAATAAACGTTTGTCTTTTTAGCACGAGTGACAGGAAGCAACTAATCCGTCGGAGACGTTTACCCTTCTTATACGTTTACACATTTACGAATTCAGAGTAGACATTTGATGAAATTTTAAGTTGCTGCAGAACCTTGTGCTTGAGTGACAGACGTGAGTTCCTGCTGTATGGACTGGACAATAATTACACTACGATATAAAACCCAACAATCTCCCGTTGCATCGCAAGCTAAATATCACCTGCTGGCTGTCATTCGGAATGTATAAGGCACTCTTTAAAAAGAGCAAGTAGTAGGATATGAGGGACACATTGGCAGAAAAATATCTCAAGAATGTGGTCTGGCATCAACATATATACAACATACATTACGAGGAGTAATCAGTTAATTGAGTATCGCTAAGGCATGTTTGTTACTTCTGATAGACTTTCCAGAAGTATTCGTGTTATTGCGACACCTGCTATATATTCAACGCCATAAGATCAGATTCTATCAAAAATATATAATCTACCCTGCTACATTTACACGAAATGTGAATTTATAACGAGAAAATAACTTTCTAAATATATCCGAACTTGTTCATTTTGCAATATTCCTTATAACCACATACCAACTAACCAGTCAACCACCATCAGTCTTATCAAGACCATAGCACTAATCTTACACTGTTATCAGTTCACCAATTATCATTATACTCGAGCTATGTTCTTAATGCATAATTCAAAATTTTCCTAGAGTATAACTGAAGAACCAGCATTATTCACTATGTCACCAATTATCAAATCTCTTTCAATATACCTCATGATTGATTTGATTTCTTAAATATTATTACTTTCAATGAATTTAGACACTAAACATTTCGCATACGTGCACTTTGAAGAACGAAACAAAACTGGCGTTTGGTTTGTCCCAGTGGTGTGTACCTACAATCTGGCGAACAAGCAGGATGCCAGCTTGGATTGCGTGTATAGCATTGTACAGTCGAGCATTCCGTGTGCGTCGTAATCGAAGCTTCTTCGTGATTGTCGTGATCTCATGACGTGCTCGACAACTTTACTACTCTTTAGCCACATGATGTTACATTTATTACATTTTAAGATATTCATTTATATTAGCATCATGCATTTATATAATATATAAATTATTCATTCAATTCTACAGCTTCTCTAGAATTAGATAAGATTATTTTGCAGATCATACTGAAACTGTGCTTTATCTTTTGAAACAATCAAATTATTTTAATGGGCTTGATTTAGTAGATAGTTGGTAATACACATTAGAGAAAGAATTTTAGCATCAGTGTTGTAAGGAAAAAGTATAATCGTGGTTAGTCAAAAATTATTCAGAGTTATACAGGAAGAAGCAACTTTCAAGATTGTTTAAGAAAACGAGACGAAAAAAAAAGATATATTGTAAAGCAGGCTGATTCCCCATACCCAGTATAGACAATTCTGTAAGGCAATTTACGTGTCAGCTTGTCAGGGTGTAATTTGACTGATAGAGGTTTCGGTGAAACGTGAACGAGACACAAAAGCGTCGAGACTTTTCGATGGCAGATAATTACGACTGTAGAAAAAAAAAAAAACAGCTCGATTTCGAAATATCGGCATTTTAATACATTCGAAAAATGTTCTTCAAGTTGCCCTTAAGGATGATATTTTTGTAGTTTTGAAAAAAAATTCTTTACCACAATTCAGTTTTGTTAATTCTTGTAAAAAAATTATAAAAGTATCGTTTACGTTTATTTTATACTTTCAGAAGATGTCTGAATAACTGAAATTGTTGATACATTTATCCATTATGCATATAGTTTAACGTACTTTGTTTTGATTGCTTTTTTGTGAATTATGATGTTTGAATTTTGTTTATTACTTATTCTAAAAAATAAAAATTTATATTCGTGACTGTAGATATGTTTTTATAGAACTTATGTAAAAACACATTCGTTATTTTTTAACAAACTTGTTCAAAATTGTATTAATGATGATGAATTCAATTATTTAAAATAATTTTTAAGAAAAAAGATTATTTACTATTCTGTTGGAACCCCCTCGAACTTTGATTCAAATACTTTACCACAGAGAAAGTCTATATTATCAACTGTAGAATCAAAAGTAAAGTCGGTAAGTATTATTTACTTATCGATATAGGTAATTATCGACTGTCAGTGTAGTAAACTAACAAATAATACTATTCAAATGTATACTTGAGCTCATACTCTATTCAAGCATTAAAAATTTACTCAACGATGTAGTTTTCAATGTATAAACTAAAAATATACTCCTTGCTCGAAAGGACCAACGCATTCACGTGTTCATTATTTAAGAAGATTATTTTTATGAAAATGTTTGTTCCAAAATTAGTCACGATCGATTTTCATCAGATGTTTCTAATTTTTCTCGTATGTTATCTTTTAAAATACTCCACATACCGCATGTTCTACTAAGAAAAAAAGTTAAAATACTTTGAAAATTCACACAAATGAAGTAAAATGTAAAAAATGTAGTTTTTTATTTCATGTTATTCGTCAGAATACATTAAAATTAATTATTTACAAATATTAATTTTTGTACAAATTAAAAAAAATCATATCCGTTTAAAATTAATATTCAATTACCTATATAATAAAAATATTATATTTTTTACTCTAATTTGTTATAAATATAATCCATGAACCTAACTGTAATTTAAATGCATTGATATGTCACATACATGCTTTATATTAATTGTATTTAGTTAAAATTTCAAAGCAAATAAATATAAAATTATTTCATAACTTCATTATATGAAGTTAATTTAATATTAAAATTGCTTTTTCAATCTCATTCTTTTTTATAAATAAATATTATCATAAATATAACTCGAAACAAATGACTCAAAATTGATTTTACATAATTACATTGAATTCCACGATAAAAATAATCGTATTACACATAATTTTTACATGGGAGTAACATTCTTTTTCCTCCACATTTTCCACGATTGCTTATGTAGTTAATTTATTTACACAATTATAATCCCTTCACATGTTGTCCTCTAACAATTCCGGGTCATAGTTTCCAAACTATTAAAAGTTTAATTTAAATTGAGTATTTAAATTTACCAAATAATAGTATATATTAAAAAATAAAAAAAATATTGATTAAATTGCTCACCAATTCTCGTAAGTTGAGAACATTTTCCGCTTTCGTTAATGGACCCCAAATAGCCTGGGCTTCTATCCGTTTGTGAACCCTTTGAAGGTGAAGCACTAGTCCGTAATCCAAAAAGGGGGGACATCCTTCAAACTGCAAATTTCAATGGTTGGATTCCAATCACATTCATTTCATTTACAATATAAATAAATCAGATATTATAAAATAAAATTTTTTATTATAACTTACGAGTTCTTGAAGATTAAAGATATTTTCCCCAATATGGTTATCGGCGTCATCATCATCCCAGTTAACAAAATTGTTCTCTTCAACTAATATACGTCTTCTGAATCGTCTCATGAATATGCCATCAATATATTTTTCATGTATTTTTTGTCTTAAGTTTTTATTTAATGCTAATAAATATGCTAAATATCTGCCATTCTTTTGTACTTCACGACGTTTACTTTTTGAAACAATCGGTTGCTTCAAATCATCTTTCACTAATTTAAAACCATTAAAAAAATTGTCTAGATGCCAATACGTTTTCATAAAAAATTTATCATTTTTTCTCCTTAATTCGGAGCGACGTAAACGACACTCTTTAGCCTTGGAAGTTTTCCAAAATTTTTTATCATTTAGATTTCTTAATTCTTGTCGATGATGACGCCGATTAATTGATTCACACCAATGATCCGTGTATAAGACTGTTTTTATTATTAAGTTCGTTAGATTTTCCATGGCTTTTATTTTTTTTATTCTCCACTTTCTTTCACTTAGTCACTCCAAAAACTTGTAACGGTATGTAAAAGTCACAGTTTCGAAGCACAGAAAATTTCACGCTTTTCCCCTACCACTTCTCACTGTTTCCCCCAGACAGATGTATTTCGTAAACGCATTCATATCAATTATTATTATTATTTGGTAAAAAGCGTCAAAACTATTTGACATTGACTGGCAGACTGCATTATTTATCAACAGTATTATCTACGGTGAATCATAAATTTTTGTCAAAAGTAATATAACAAATTTCTATTATAATGACGAAATTAGTGAAACTTACTTCTTTACTCTTCGGAGCATAATACTCTCACATTAGGGATGTGTCGTTAACGCTGTATTCTTAACGATCGTAGAATACCTTTTGGGGAAGTTTAAGAGAATTGATAATGACTTTTTCCATTTACCGGGGAAATATATTAGACTTAAATTTAACGAAATGGAAATTTTAGTGTAACAAATAATATTCTTCAAAAAGAATATGTTATAATTTTGTGTGCTACCTCATTCTTGATAAATTAATTTCTGTATTCTAGGAAATATATTTCATAACAATTTGATAATTTGTCTCACTTTCGTTGTGGCTTTGAAAAAAAAGTGGGATATAAAAAAATGAAATCCATGGAAATTTTAAAGAATTTAGTAATAAAAATAGACAAGAATTAAGGAATCTAAATGATACAAATTTTGGAAAACTCTCGAGGCTAAAGAGCGTCGTTTACATCATTCATGTTATGTTTAAATTTTGATTTTTAAATCTCTTGATATTCAATAATTTTATATTTATATTTGTATAATTGCCAAATAAGGTATAGTTTTTGTATAATACAAATCGAATAGACTCCAAGTGCGATGGTGGTGTAATGGTCAGCATAGTTGCCTTCCAAGCAGTTGATCCGGGTTCGATTCCCGGCCATCGCATATTTTTTTTAAAATGATTCTTTTTTTAAAGACGATTTTATACACTGATATTTTTATCTTAAAATAAAATGTTATTTAAAAATATTTAAATTCAACTAGAATTTCTCAAGAGATGTAATATAATTTCTCTCAAGCTAGGTTAAAGGAATTGATATCAAGTCTGAAACGCAAAACCGCCAAAAATCTAAATTCCTATGAAACATTTTATTTATTACACATTTAGGCAAACTACAAATATAATAATCTAATCATAAAAAATACTCAAATAATGTTCCATCCAATAAAATAGCCATGTGATCACAATGAAATTAAATTCGCAAAAGTTCGCTTTATCAACTAATGATAACAATAAATAATAATCAAATATAATTTGCATTCAAGAAAAATAAATAAAAAATAGAATAAATTTCTCCCACAATGGAGAAATCAAAAAATTATTAGCAGTTGATATGGAAATATAGTGGGCGAAAAAGAAATTTTCACATGATACATATGCATAACCTAAATTCAAACAAGTCATTGAAATTATTCTATACCTTGGACATAATATTTAGGTCTTAATTAACTATTTTATGGTTTTTTTTTCAATAAATCATTGACTTAAAAATTATAGATTGCCAATTTTCTGCACAAAAAAATTCTTCTTGCAGTCGGTAATTACTCGGCGGGAATAGGTTAGGTTTTTTAGATGTGTGCTCATAGGTATTTATACGTATAATCTCAAGTGTCTATTTTAATATGGTGGACCTTCGATTATTCAATAAAACCTTATGACATCGATGAAAACAGTTCACGTGTGTAGAAATGATTCATTTTTTACTAACGATTAAATTTAAAAATAAAGTTATCATTAATAATACAGACTAACTAACTCATTGTTTTTCTAAAACATCTAATCTGCAATCATGGAGGGATCAACAATCCCAGAATGGTCTGAAATACGTAATATTTTTGGTAATACTGTAGCAGAGTAAGTAGTAAATTTATCATTTTATTAATTATAAGAACTATCAAATGTTTGAATTTTTTACCATTATAAAAATAATGTAATTTATGTAATTCCTAGATACTTGAAAGAACAGAATTGTGTTGTACGAAAATCAAAAACAGGGGCATTTATTATGAGAGAAAAAGACCGCTATTTATTTGATGATTGTGCTCATTTGATAAGAAACTGTAAACGTCTAAAAAAGACTGATCCCCAAAATCAACAAGCATGTAGTACAAATCCGTTACCTGAGATATTATATGTTGATACAAATATACGAGACAACCTTTATCTATTTGGTAAATATCTGATTTTCTTAAAGACAATTACGTAAAATAAAATTAATTTGAATTTGTTTTTGATCCATACAGAAAACTTTAGACGAAATCCTGATTTTGAAGCAATCAATGAAAGTTTCAATCCAGCTTCACCGAATTCAAGTCCATCACGAGAAAATGTTGAAACGAGTGATGATGTTGATTTAGATTGTCTAGATGGAAGTATTTATTTAAAACATAACAAGATTAATCAGTTGAGATCAGAAATATTTAGACATCTATATAAAATAGTAAAAAATAAAGATAAAGAATGTGCACTCATGTTTAAAGCAATTGTTGAATCTTTTATTCGAAAACATAGAGCATTTAAATACAACGTACTACTGGACAGTTTTCGACAAGATGAAACATTGATAGATGGTTTATTGACTAAGAAACAAGTTATTGAATTTTTTCATAAAATTTTTACTTCTGTGGTACCCATATCGTTGTTTGGAGATCAAACTAATTTCAAGAAAATTTACCATGCTGTTTTTTTTTTCCTTAAAGCTGCTGAAAGAGAAACTTTTTCTATTAAATATGTGTTCAAGAGACTAAATGTATGTATGTATAATAATCTATTTCGATTTAATGAATTAATGTGAAAGGTCATGTTTTTTTATTAATTTAAATTCCAGAGAAATAATGTGGTGTGGCTGAGAACAATCAAAGATAAAAGAGAAAAAGGATTAATTTTGTATCATATAGTGCAATGGTTTTTTGAAGAGTTTGTATCTGGTATTATAACAGCATACCTCTACACTGAAAAAGGTAGTGACAGACAAAAGTATTTTTTTCGACGTTGGAAGAAAAAATGTGATAACAAAATTTACATTAATAAACAAGTTCAAAAAAACATTTTTTTGCCAGTTAAAGTCGTAAACGTAGATAATATTGACGTACCAGTTGCAAAACTAGTATTTTATACTAAAAAAGACGGGATCCGTCCAATATTATCAACCAGGTAATGTCTATATTTTTTTTTAAATACATCAGTAGTATACAATTGATTGACTGATTAATTTTTAGGGCGAATCCTGAGCAAAGAAACGAACGTCAGGTAATTAAAAGTTTATTACGTCAAATATATTTGAAGAATCATGACATAATTAATTTGAAGAAAATTCATCAAGTTTGGAGTGACTTTAAAAAGTCGAGTACCAGTTCAGCAAATACTCCAGTATATTTTGTTTCTTGTGACATCCTTGATGCTTATGGCTCAATTATCCAAGGTGACATATTCATTTTTTGTTTATCTGTTGGTCAGTTCTTTTTATAATTCGATTTTCTGATAATAATTATTTTGAAAATATTTTAGAAAAACTTCTAAAAATTATCAATGATGAACTAGATAAACTGCCAAGCAAACTAATTGCTAGATGGTTCGTAATTTTAGATCCCAATACTTCACCTGTAACTGAAGAATATATAGATTCTGTAGCTCCTGAAATTCTACCTGTTACATTACCACCTGGAAGTTTATGCTGTTTAGATAGAAATGTTGATCAACTTTGTAAAGTTATCAATGTGAATACAATTAAACAAAGATTGGAGGCTTATATATTTAAACAACATGTACGTATTTTTTATAATTTGTGAAAACAAATATAATTTATTATTGTTTTTTTTTTAGATATATGTATCTCAAAAATATTATATCCTAAAACAAGGCGTTGGTCAAGGTCTTCCAATGTCTGCGTTATTATGTGATTTATATTATGAGAACATGCTAGAAAAAGAATTATCAAAATTTAAAGAAGATGGTTATTTCTTTCGTTATGTAGATGATTTTTTATATCTTACAAAGTCTGAAGATGCTGCAAAGAGGTAATTTTAATTCTCAAAATCTATGAATAAATGGCATTTTATTATCATTTCTATAAAGTTATTTACAAAAATTTATCAGATTTTTAAAAAAGGTAAATGAAGGTATAAAATCGTACAATTGTGCTTTCAAACAACAAAAAACTCAAACCAATTTAATGCCACATAACAACGAAGAATTCATTTATTTAGGCTATCGTTTTAATATTAAAACCTTTAATGTTATTCCTGAATATTCATCCGTACCAGCACGCTACAATACAGCTATTTCAAGACCACCTGATGATACATTAAGGTATCTAAAAATTATCTTAAGATCTTCAATCTAAATTTCCTAATATTAATATTTTTTGTATTGTTAACAGTGTATTTATTCAAAGAATATCCAATTTTGAAGGTCTTAAATTATGTCCATTAATCATGGATTTATCCATTAATTCGAAGGAAGTAATTCTGAATAATATTAAAAAAGCTTCTGTACTCAATGCTCAGCGATGTTTAGCTCTTGTAATAAATATGTTTGATATTGAAGATATCGATTATCCTGAGATATTTCGCATTATAAGAACTCGTTGTGTTCAAGTATTAATATCAGAGTTTTTAAGAATGATGTCTTTTAATACAGGTATAGATATATAAATTAGAATTTTAACAATCACTGTATAACTCATGTTAATCATAATAGTAATAATGTTGTTTTCTAGAAATTAATGAAAATTTAAAAAATCAAGTAAAGGAGCTCGTTTGGTCATCATATTATGAAGTCTTCAAAGCGAAAAAATTTATTAAAAAATGGTTTCTACGTAAAATTAAACAGCAATATATAAACTCAGACTTTCTAATGAAAGGTTAATTGATAAATGATTTATATAAATTATATTTTTTTAAATATTATTTTACAATAAATGATTATACTGAAAAAATTTAAATATGATTGGTGCAAAATAAACTTTATTTTTACATATCTTAATTTTTATTCAACTTAATCGTTTTTTGTACTAATACTTACTACAGTAATATGATGAGAAACTGATTTACTACTCATGCTTTTGATTATATTTACAATAAGTAATTGTCTATTCAATTGAGATATACAAATTTTTATTTAAAATTTGCGCTATTGATTATTCAGGAAAAATCGTATTTCTCAATCAAATGGATAATTATTCATTTTAAATGTAACAACTGCGATGAATGGTCGGTCATTTTTTTTGTAAATAAAAAAAAAATTGACTTAGTACTAAAAATTAAATTTGTAAACATCAAGAATGATTAAATTCAACATTTGTTTATTATTGATAGAAGAATTTCACATTATTATATTATTATTATTAATAAAACGAGTACTATTTGCAATTCTTTTTTCATCAAAAACACCATATAATAATTAATAGTAAAAATTCTACAATAATCTAGTAATCAAGAGATAGCAGTTCATATAAACAATAAAATATATTGAATTCTATGTGTAACTTATTTTTTTTTAAACTAATAAAATTAAATCACATTTTAGTTAATAGGTTAATTTTGACAATGATCATTAGAAACTGTGAAAATTTAGTTTAATTTATCAATACTTACTAAATGTTACAAGTAATTTATACAGATTGTTACATCTATCATAATATTAATTATACTTTACACCTACTAGTAGTACTTTGAAAAGATGTTTATGAGTAAAGAGGATAGTTTACAATTTTAAAGATAATTAAAGTTGGAAGTTTACTAAAAAAAAAAGTAAAGAATTAGTTATTAATCATTTTATCCCAATTACGTGGATATTAATATTATGATTAATAATATACTTGTGTAAGCGATACCATTGTGCGATTAATGAATGACAAATTCTATACATAACATTTAATCCACAATTTTATAATAATAATAAAAAGTAATATAATGGAAAACAAATACAGTCTTTCTTATTAAATCAGCATCGCCTACATAAATATTTAACCATTAATATTTACTGTATTATTGACACCAGTTATAACATTATTATTTTTGTTTAATTTTAAAATTTCTTTTTTTTCAATATTTTATAAATCATTGTAGAATGAGAATGTACACGAAGTTATTTCTAAATCTTCATTTTTTTTTGTCATTACTTTGTACAATCGACTTTAATTAGCTTTTTGTGAATGTTGTTGCTTGTTACGATGCTCATAATTTACTAAACGTTGTCCAACCAAATATTTATCATTTTTGATTCGTTCATAGAGCTTTTTGAATTGACGAATATGAAATACTATTAAAACACAAACAAAAATAATCCAAAGTAAAACTGAATAAAGACATCTAGCAATAAGAATCTGTGTTTGAAGATTTGTCACAAATAATGGTACTATTCCATAAGCAAAAGCGTAAGGAACAGCTAATGCAAGACCAAAAACGCAAATTACTGGTGCTGCAAGTTCGGTTACAATAAATTTGAGATCCATCTCTCTCACACCATCATTATAAGCTTTTTCAATTGCATTTCGTAATCTCCATTCAGGTCCCATCATCGTTACTGCTGTTGCTATTTTGGTATAGAGTACACCTAAAGCCCAATCTTGCCAAATAAATAAAATAGGATTTTGTTCTAAGGGCACCCGCAACGGAACGACTACAACTAATTCTAAAAGGAGGCCAAATAGCAGAGGAATTACTCCAACTAAAAGTATAAATGCTATTGACGCTTTTACACCTAAAATTGCTCGATGTTTAATTCTATCTAAAATGGCTCGTCGTCCTCGAGGCAGCCATGAAAATGCAAGAGCTAAACCACGAGCTGCTGCCCAACAAACATAAGTTCCACAAGCAACTGTATAAATTTCGTGGACTCGCCCGGAAAATACAACCATAGCCTCTCCTACACCTAGAAAAATAATGTATTATTTTTTTGACAATAAAATGAATAAATATTACTAATAAATAATGGTTATACTGACTGTTTACAGATAAAGTTTGTGGCAATACAGATGGAGAAGGTGCTGGAGCGCCGACCATCCATAAAGCCATAACTCTGCGTCCCAACCATACTGGTAGAGTCATTGCAATTAAACTAGCAATCACCAATGATATGCAAACACATATCAAAAGTCCAATTATTCTTGCTGGGAACCATTTAGTTCTAACGTATGGTTGATCGCCAGTTGGATTGTCTCTATGTAGCATATTAGCAGCTGCTTGATGTGCTGCTCTTAGATCTGCATGTTCCTCAATAACTGCTGGTCCTTGATCATCCCTTTGATCTCGAAGTAAATAAGATTGAATATCAAGCATCCAGGCTACTGCTTGACACCAGCCACGTATTAACGCCTTCAGCCATGTACGTGTATGGGATTGTTCTAATAAAGCTGGTAAAATCACTTGAAGTAAGAGTAATTCCAAAGAAAGTTCGCTAACTTGGGCTTCTGTTTGTAAGGTCACAGTGTACGGCAAAAATCCAGGCCATGCCCATTTGAGTAATCTAATAGGCAACCAAAGCATTAAAAGTATTGCTGTACCAAATATTACGGCTGATACGATAAGCCTTCGGGCATGTTTTATGATTGGAAGATGAATCATTTCTTGAATCGGTGAAAAGTCAGGATCATTAAGATTACGTAAGAACCAAAGAACACCTGGACGCAACACTTCACGTAAAAGTAGAATGAATGAAGCAAAATAATAAATATACACCATTCCTACTAGCCAATGGATAAACATACACGTGCCTGGAGCAAGTCTGAATGAAGATTCACGATCTTTTAAAGTTGCATCAAACATTGCTAGAGAGCAGATATCCAACCACCATCCACATACAAGTGGTAATACACCAATTTCTACAACTGATAGTAGGGAAACTTTTACTACTACATATCCTAACCCAAGGATCTTTTGGGAACGTTGAAAACCAAATAGCGCTGCTAGTGTATGTAAAATTACTAGAATTCCACCAATTACTCCATAACCACATAGAGTTGTGACAAGTCCTTCAAAGTGGGATGCAGCAGCATGTTCTTGAAGTCCTAAGGCAGCTATTGTATAATGTCCAAAGATGTACGGACAAAAAGCAAAAAGTAAAATAAAGACAGTATTCAAAGAAATAACCCAAAACACGTGTTCAACGAATAATAGAGAACCGTCAAGACCTAAAAGTCTTTCCCAAGTAAGTTCTTCAGCTGGTCGATCCCATTCCATAGGATTCCAATTGCCTTCTTCGGCTTCACCAGCAGCTTGAGCTTGATCTTGAACTTGACCTTCTCTCCATACACGTTCTTCAGGTTGAACAACGTTTACATTATCTTCTTGCCGTACTTCTTCATCAACGATTTCACCTACATTGCCTATTCCTTGTTCCGGACCATTATCAACAATTTCACGATACATTAGATGTTCTTCATCACTAGGATCCACTGGTCTAGGTGGTTCATCCACAAATGGAGGGATATTGTTATTATCACGATCATCAGGTTGTCTTTGAGGATCTTGAATATGTGGTTGAGCTTGAGCTTCATTATTTTCTTCCGCAACAGGCAGTTGAATATCTCTTTCAAGCCAATCAGGTCCTCCAGCGTGAAGAATTTGTTCTCGAAGCCATACCAAGCCAATAAAAGCAAACAATGTACAAGTGACCACAAAACAACCGTGGAAAATATCCGATGATATGTTTTCAGTAGACAAAATGTCTAATGGTAATGACATCACCTGCGATAAAATTAAATTAATAAGATTACTTTTGATCAATAGCAGCTATTTAATTTAAAAAAAAAAAAAAAAAAAAAAAAATAAAACACAAAATATATACGTACTCTGACAAGGTCTAAGGACCCACTGAATAATGTTCTGTAAGTACGACAGGCTGTTAATGGAACTAACCCCAACCATGCTAAAGCAACTAAAGTATAATGCAGCCAATAATTTACGACTGTCATGATACTAGAACATAATCCTCCGATCACATCGCGTAGAGGTAAACGACGTGGCATATCCGGGCTGTAAATTGGTGTAAAAGAAAATCTGTGGCCACATAATTCGCAATATTCTTTTCTTGAATATCTCATCCATTGTACTAAACACTCTTGATGGATCCACTTAATACTTCCAGTACAAATACAAGGATGAAATAAAGGTCTATCTGGAAGACCTTCAGATCTACAAACCCGGCAGATATCAGCTCCTAACATGTCCTCCGTCATGTTGATTAATTTTCAATATTTTATTGTATGAAATTTGACTTCCACTATCCAATGTCGTATGATCTAGAATTGAAAATTTCTTATCAGTTAGATTTCGTTTCTTATTGCTGATGTTATTGACTCTGTTGACAAAAATATAATAGAGTAACTAATCATGTAATGAGTTTTCGTGAGAAAGGAATCTTTTGACCCTTTGACATCTAAATAATACATCATCCAATTAAATTAGGTTAAGCTTAATAAGAAATACATATAAAAGAGTTATTGAAGACAATAACTACGTTGAAAATAGTTGCATCATTTGGTTCGAATTGAGAAAGAGGTTTGAATGCCAAATTGTTATTAATTGTTCAATACTATAAAAACACTTACTATTTTCTTGTTTAAGAAGTATATAACATCGAAGAATCGTGAAAAATATTGAAAAAAATACTCTACTGCTACTTCTTTACTTGCAGCTGTTTCGTTCAAGGTTCCGACACTAGTTTTATCAGTGATGCCAATGAGACAATAATTATGTTCCAAAATGATAAAAAATAAAGTTGGTCACACTGATGTTGTTTTATTGCTTTCCTTTCTTGTTTATTTCGAAAAGAAATTAGTGCATCTGAAATATACCACATAAATGTTCTGATAGAATTATGCGAACAAATAATAAAATTAAATAGTTTTAAAACATATGACACCTATTTTCGAAGTTATAAATTTATGTAAACTTAACTGATGACTCTAAATTTTTAGATAAATTATTGGAAAATTTTTCTAAACGTCTTGAATATTCAAAAGACAGTGTGCCACTCAATTACAGGTTAGGCTTCTCAAATAAAATAGGTAAAAATTTAGTTTATTTAAATAAATATAAAAAATAAAATACTCATTCTTTATTCAATTAAAGTTATGATAAACAATATCATGTTTTATGCAAAATTTTTCAATAGACATGGCTAAAACATTATCTAATAAAAACAAAAAAGCCGACAACGTGGATAATGAAATACATTCTAGAAAAAATTCTAAAAAAAGAAAAACAAAAGCAGTAGTAAATCAGAATGATGAAGAAGAGCCATTTAAAATCAGTAAGAAAATTAAAAAGAAGCGAAATCTTAAAAATAATGAACCAACTACTGAAGAAAAATCTTCAAAAAAATTTAAAAAAAACGAAAGGTATGCCCATTAGCAATATTCATTTAATCAATTTTTTTACAGTGAATCATTACTGAAAATTTTTTAACAGCAATTTAGATAGTAAAAAAAATTTATCAGAAAATGAAGAAGAATCTCAAGATAATATTGAACAAAAACCACGTACAATTTCTAAAAGACAAATAAAGAGAGAAAAAGAAGAGCAACGTAAAACTGACAAAAAAGAAGCAAGTAAACAAGATGCAATGAATAAAGCATTAAATTATATTTCTATGGTAAGAAGCATTTCAGGATATAAAGTGGCAGCGTTTTTTAAAATTTAAGATATTCTTTAATTACAAAGAAAACATTATTTTCAGTGGAAACATTCAAGAAGCCAATGGAAATTTGAAAAGATAAAGCAAATATGGTTAATGGATAATTTATTAGACGACAAAGCTGTGCCTAACTCAATTTTTCCAACCGTATTGGAATATTTTGAAGGTTGCAAAGGAATGGCAAGAGAAACATTACTTAAGAAAGGTATGGATGTTATCAAAATGTGCGAACAAAAACAAGAGGAGACAGGTAGCAGAATTGAAACAGTGGAATATAAAAGAGCAAGGGAATTATTGCAGGCATTGCCAATTGAGACTTAAACTAAGGTTTTACCTATTAAGATATTTAGTTCCTTCAGATAAATTTTAAAGTAACCGTTACATTATTAGATATAAAAATATAACTATTTCGTATGTTTATAGACGAAACATTTTTATTTTGTGATCGTTCATTAATTTATAATTATAAAACTATGAGAATTTTTGTACATATTCAAAGTACAAAATTAGTTAGTCTATACAACAGAATAAATTTTTATTTAATCAAAATTATTGTAAAGACATTATTAATTCGAAAGCGAAACATAACAGTACGTTTGATTTAATCAAAGTTCAAAATACAGTAAAGTGCTACAATTATAATATCCATATTTACTGCCTAAGGATCTGCATATTTGTCCACGAACTTTCTAAGTTTATCTGTATCCTGTAAACCAACAATTCGTTCTAAAACCTTTCCATCTTTCATTGCTATCAAAACTGGAACAGATTCCACCTAAAATTTTGAAACAATTAAATAGCTGATACTTTAAACAGAGCTAGAAAAAAGTATTGTTAAACAAGTGATATTTGATACAAATAATTTTTTGATATTATTGTTTATTGTAATCTAATTCGTATGAACTATACTGTTTATTTTACCTGATAATCTAGTGCAAGATCTGTGTTTTCATCAATATCTACTTTAGCTAATAAAATTTTTCCTTTCTTTTCTGCAATAACCGACTCTAAACGTGGTGTCAACATACGACAAGGATTACACCATCTAAAATCAAATTTAAAAAGTGCGTATTATTTTTTAAAATATTATTTTTAGCAATTATCAAATATTCTGATATATAATTGATAGCTTACGTTGCAAAAAAGTCAATGATAACAGGAACTTTGGAATTTTTAACTCTATCATTAAAATCTTTGTTATCTTGCACTTTGAACGCTGGAGAAGCTACTGATGAAAATGATCTAGCCTCTAAATTCGCAAAAATAGCTCTGACACCGACTCTTAACATTATTATTAGCTTCTCTGATTATTTAATGATTGATCAATTGGCTATTGCTAAGTGATACTAAATTTTCACTTTAAAAATATTCGAAAATAACCTTGCTATATATCAAAGAGAAGTCACTTCTTTCTGCTATACATATATCTAATATTTACGCTGATTACGGTACGCGAACCATCAGACTATTACACCAGATCCGGATTCCTTTGAAATAAATTGAAACCACGGAAAAGCTAAAACCGTAGAGATTTATGTTGATAAAAGTTGATGATTTAGTTGTTTTCAAAATTATTTCTTTGATATTTCACAGTGAACTAAAAACATCAGTGTTCTATTTTAATTAATTATAAAAATTAATTTGAAAAAATGTTTAATATATTTCGCGCTAAAATTCCATTAGCTTATTACGCTATCTATATCCTACTTTTGTAATTAAAATAAAAAATTCAAATAATTGTAAACATTGTTGACATTCATATTAGTTTGTTTACTTGTCATCAATCGGTGACAAAATAAAAATCCTTTATACAATTAATATTTTTTAAATTGTCAATAAAATTACATTAAAATTTATATCTTCTATTTGACATACTTATATTATAATAAAAATAATGTGATATTCACATCGTATGTCCTATTACGTTCGTTTAATTGTTAAATTGCATCATATTTACAATTGTATTATTTTCTAGTTCTCATATGGACACACACTAATATTCTCGGCTGTTTTATCATCCTGACGACTATGAACAACTTCTTACGCAAGCATATATTTTCTCAGTATATGACGCGAGAAAAAAAGTAAAAATATGAGTGTATAAATATAAAGGCTGTTAATCAAGATCGGATAAAAATTAATAAAACGTCTTTGGTGATTTTCTAGGAGCTGAAATATTTTCTGTTCTTATTATTGAAAATCAAATTGTCCAATAATAACTCAGATAAACCTGCGTAAATGACGTAATATCTGAAGCTCTCTGATTTTCAAGGCAATGATGATGCCGTGGCGCCGACAAGAATGAAAGAGTAGCTATATGGATGCAAGTCTAGTCTTTTCAGCAGAAACTAGAGTCGATTACGACGTTAGAGATTGAAGATAATTTAAATCTTGTCTCGTTACCTCGTTTGTGCTTTTCAAGGACTTCACTTCCTACGACATGGGCATTTTCACATGTCATATATCCGTACTATGCATATTGTTCGCGCTTTAGCTCTACTCACCAAGGACACCTAAGAAATACATCATCATTATTGCAAAAGATTGATTCCCGATCTCCATAATTAACCATTTACACATCCTTTTGATGTAAAAAAGAAACTAAGCTCAATGAAATTTGTGAAAAAATGTTTCATTGTTTTTTTTTATCATAATGAAATAAATCAAAAATATAACAAGATTTTAAAATAAATATTTACCAAGAATAAGAAAGTATACAATCGTAAAATATGATATTGAATTCGGAAAAAACCAGATATTTATTCCTATTTATTATATCTTCAAGCTATCAATAGTACCACACCCATTGGCCAATCCTGGTTGATCTAATTGATCCAGAAATATTGTAATACATCATTGAGTCGTTTCCTGATGACTCTTAGTAACAAAGGTGAACAATAATATGATTGCTTCATTCTATAAAGCTACTTGTCTTAATGTCAATTTACATTACATGCAAGGTTCCGCAACCGTCTAGAACTTATTTGTCTTCATTTATTTGGTTAGTACTCCATGAATGTGCTAAACAGAAAAAAAAACGTTTAATACCTGGTTGCATAGGTGATAAACAAGAACAATCATAAAATTAAACTATTGAGATAAACAGTAATTCCAATTGATAGCAGGATAAACATAAAATTCTCCAGTACAGAGATATATAGCTCATAAAATTATACGGCTTCTTCTTATTCATTTTGAACACTCTAATAACGACTCAAGGCTAGCAGATCTATTCCTATTTTTGCCATACAGATGAAATTCTACGTCGATGGTTACCATAACGACCAACTTACCCCCGACAACGAGCATCCCCGTTAGCTTTTTCATTACACTGCAACCCCACAATACGTGTGCACTCATCCCTAATGTTTCCGAAGCAAATATACTACGCACTCTAGCATGAAGATATATTTACTCTACTGTACAGATTTAATTTTATTCAAAAACTCAATAGCCTATTTTTTTCTCAGATGTGTATTAAATTTTTAATATCAACACCCTATTTTATTTACTAATGAACTTGTTCACGATATGTTTTAATATTTAATCTACCTTAAAAAATATGAATATAATTAAAATGAATTAATTTTTATAATTAAACTACTGTCTTATGAGCTATTTAATTTATAAAAAAGTAGGATAGTACATTGTAATAGAAAAATAATAATATAATGAGCCAATAAATTGTTTAAATGTCAAGATTGGAACAGAAGGTGATCATCACGAAGCAATCATAAAATAATTTCTCTAATATATAAGAAATTATCTTCAATGAAAAATATATCGTTAATTGCTGATTAAGTAGAATGATGACCTCATTTATAGCAACAATAAGAACTCTAATAATTTTTTATTTTTATCATAGCACACCAATTATTTCTTTTCAAATATTTATGAGTAAATAATAGCGAAGATACTATGCGAAATTTTAATGTTGATTTTACTACAATCGATCGGTTAACAGGAAAGTCTAATTTTTACTTTTCAGGGGAAAGAACGCTCTGTAAAAGATCAATCGATTTTAAAGCTGTTTTATGATGTATTCCCCTAGTTTCTTAACATTAAGGAGACCCTAAAATGTCAATTTTGAGGGTGTGCAAAGTAACAAAATTGCACGTCACGTAATGAGTTTGCGTGTGAAGAGTTGAGTGAGATGAGAACAAACGGACGGGCTATTAACTCTCGCGCTTGCTAACAATATTATGACGGTGACTCTACTTCTGTCTATTTACTGTGACGCAACGACCTAATTCCGCTGTGAATTTTTGCTTTTTGTATTCCATCATATTATTAAATGGCAATTATATTCGTCAAAATGTTACCGGAAAAATAATTTCTCTTATTCTATACTTTAATATAAAATAACAATTGGATATAATTTCATTTTTTATTGTGCACGTGCTAACTCATTAATAGTTATGGTTGAGTTGAATATTTTCAAAGAATAGTCAGTCACGCTACTGGGTTATACATAGTTGAGATACGTACATTCAACTCTTCTCTATACATTCCTAAACATGTAGAATCTATATAGCTACGCATAAATTCTTGCATGAAAAAAAGAGACAGCGATTTGTTTAATGCGCGGGAAGTATCCATGGTCAAGTTATCCGTGATTCGCATAATCATGATTAAAGTGATAGTTTGTGCACGCGAGTGTCGTCGTGCGTGTTCTAAGTGAATGTACTCCCTTAATTCATTGGGAACTTTTTACGATGTTCACCCACAGGTCAAGTTAGGGCCAGCGTTCTATAGAATTATTCACGCACACAGTTGTCTATTATTCTCCATATACTCGACTATGTGTACCACGGTCGCTGACGAATAAAAAAAGACCGAATATAAATTGCAGCGATCTAATCTAATGAGTCATCCGTTGATGTCTACAGCTGTATCTCAGCGTCAAAAGCATCCGATCGTTAATCTTATTACATGTGTTCTCTAATACGCAATAACAGTAGTCAATTACTAGAGATCACATGTCAACAGTCATCATCATAATCAACATTTCCAAGATATTATATATTTTTTTTAACACATATGACTGATTTCTGTTACCATTTTTCCGAACTAAACTCTCACAACTAGATATAAATTTCCGGACAAGGTATTAAATTCAGATGCAATTATAACATCTCATCTCTCTTAAATGGTGTATGTTACTAATGAGCTCTCGTTTTCAGCTTTTGTTTCCTTATTAGTTATTAAGAAAAAAGGAATAATTCAACTCATGTTTTTCAAATCTAAAATATGAATGTCTCTAATACCATTTGTGCAAAGTTGTGAACAATTGCAAAACATAAAGCATCCATCTGGCACACTGTCATCATTATTATCATCATAATAGTCCCACGGTACTCATTCTTCAATTTCCTCATGGACCCTTTGATTTTTTTCAAATCATTGATAAATAGTATTTAAAAATAATATACGGATTAAAAAGATGCAGAGTATACGATAAGGAACAATTTGAAAATAGATCATAAAGGTCAAGCGATACGATAAAAGTTTAGGCGGTTAATTCAACTTTTGATATCAATACACTGACCTCATTCCTGTCTTACTTTCCTTTTCTATCTTTAAGTTTACCAACATCTGTCTATCTGGGGTCTGATTCTTCTTATATTTGCGTCCATCTTCCTCGTCAGCTAACCACGCAGTTCTATTTCAGGAACCGATGTAGTCTTGTTAGTGGGGCAGTAGGAAGCGGAAAAGTGAAGGCGCGGCTTTTGACTATGCCATCCCAAGTTGAACAACACCAACAAGATATAGAAAAAATGCATTCTAGTCTATTTTGTGATTTACGTCATATATAGAGGCTTTTGTCCAAACGTTTCACTTGTAACGAGCTGAAAAAGTGAATAAAATATAAACTTTTGGTTAAAAGAAATGAAAAAGAATGCTAAATAAAGCAAACGAGCTTCGCATGAGCGTAACTCATTAAATAATTAATTAGAAAACACACGCAGTTACTTACTTGTTTTCTAACGTAATCCTTTGCATCAAAAGAAACCAGGTCAATTCTTTTTCTCTGTTCCCTCTCTACATTCTATGGCTTTATAGATCATTTAAAGCTTTATAACCAACGTGCAAGAATGCTAGTAAATTCTACATAGAATAATATATCATCACCTATGTCTCTTTCATTCCGCTAACAACTTTCCTCATTGAATATAATTATTAATTAAGAAACACATAAAGTCAGTCGAGTATAAACTCCTACATTTAATTCATTCATAATCAAGAACCATAAAATTTTTCACTTCAATTTATTATAGCTATCAAATGACATATATTTATCATTGATAATAGTTTCATTTTTGTATCTTCCACTTTAATGAGAATTAGAATATGATCCGAAAGTCGAGGTTATCATCACGGTCATTTTGATTAATTGTATTAAGAGTATAATCGTAACAAGCACTAAACAACAAAGTTAATAGAATAATGAAAAAATTCATGTTAAAATACGAAAATGATATTCATGTGAATATACCCTCGATTCTCACCTTTACTAATATACATTCATATTCTAAACGTCTATTTAAGTGTTAATAACTCAGACTTTGCGTTGAATCGAAAAAACTTATATTACCAATTCCGGTGGTATAAGTGCTTGAGGTGAGTAGGTCAAGTTGAACAAGAATCATCGCTAAAAATGACTAGAATATTTGTTTAATTGATAAAAATCTTCATCGGTTTCGTTGAAACATTAAAATATGTTTACAGAGAATTAAGCGACAATGCGAAGCACGTAGAAAGGGTACACAGAAGGTCTTACATAATCATAGCTTGCAAGTGCGGTCAGTAAAATAGCATTTAACCAACAAGTAAGCAAGCAGCTATGCTACACCATCTACCCATGGATGTAACGTTTGAAAATAACTATCTACAACTAGCTTATTAGTCATCATCCTTGAATTCTGGTGTTCCTGGTCACAACACTATTCAATAATTTAATCTTTATTGGAAAAGAATCACATTCATTTTCCGCTTTCTCTTTTCAAAGCAACCAGAACCAAAATATTATTGATCATTGGAATCTGAAAATAAAAACATAGTTTTAATAGAAATGTTAATTCCAAAATTCAAATTACTAAATATAGATAGAATAAAATTATACTATGTAAATCTTTCATAAGCATTTCAATGTGTTTTGAAAAAACTACACTACGTTATACTCATTCTGCATAGATCTATAAGAGTTTGTGCTAATAGAAAAGTTTTTCTGAGAAAAAAATTATTCATGGCTGTTGATAAGATTTGTTACAAAAACTAAAAAAAATTTTATTACAATCACTATCATCTAATAGTGATTTTATTTAATTATTTAAATGAGAATTTTTTTGTTTTTTTTTTTTATTGTAATTAATTATATGATTAATCAGTATATTTACAAAAGCAAATGCTCAATGACAATAATAATAACCACGAGGATATTATGTCAGGCTTGTGAAAGAAAATGAGAAAATTCCCTTCTTAAATAACTTAATGAGAAAAAAAGTAATAAAATATGGAAACCACATCATAAAATTCTCAATATTATTTTCTGGCCCTAAGATTCGCAAGATTTATTTCGTGTGTTTGTTAAGAAATAAAACGAAGGCCACAAGAAACTGGCACTGATCCATGTAAACTGTCATCTGGGACTTCAAACAGGACAATCTATTCGTCATTTATTGTAAACGATTATGATCAATGGAACATTAGAAAATTACAAATTGTTGAATCCCTTTTGAAACTTCTGCTTGAGCTTTTTTTGAGATGGATCATTTTCCCTTTAATCCCTTACCTAATAAACTAAACCTGTAGTATAGTATAGGAACAATTGAGATGTCCAGATGCTGCGTATAAGCAACCGGAAAAAGTAGACAAAAGATCTACCGACAAATACGAGAATAGTTTTAAAAGTTTTGTCTCTTCCATTCATAGACCTATGATGCAGTTGTTAAAAAGAGCGGCCTTTCATACAGCTATAAAGCCTCTGACAATCAAAAGAAATTCTATCATCAGAATAATTGAAATTGCTTATCAAACTGGTTGTATTTGTTCATATAAATTATCTGTTAGCCTGACCATTAAATAATTTTGAGTAACAAAAATCACAACAAATGGGAAAAAGGTATGAGCTTCGATGGGTAGGGAAGCTAAAAAGTACAGAGAAGCATAAAGAAAGAACGGTGGGGTGCACATAGGAAGGGGAATGAGGGAAGCCTTGTTGAACTGATGCTTCGCGCCTCCGTCAGTCAAAACGCGGACGTCCGACGCTATGGACCGTGTCAATAGTCGGCTCGAGTAAGATTGTCATATAAGAAAATTCATTAGGCAACTTACTCTCAACCGGATTGCTGGCGCAAGCCCGGAAAATCGTTGAATAATCAACAGTTTAAGAATAGCACGAGAAATACTTGAGTACTTCACATCGTGTAAGTTTATATTTTACTCTTGAAGTGTATTAATTTTGAGAAGTCATTTTTCCGACTACATCATCGTGAATCAAGTGTTTGGATTACGTGTGGAGTGTAAATCAATTCTATTTGTACATAAGACTACGTTAGACTTGAAAAAATGTTGAGAAAGGTTGTGATCTTTTTAGCTATTCTTACAGTAGTTTCAGCTATTGAACAATTCCGTGAAATATTTCGATGGAATACAATTGATATTATTTGGCCTTCAGATGAAATACGAACCAAAATTTTAGACCGAAATGAATATTTACCTGAAAATAATCCAATAGCTGGAATTAAATTTTGGAAAAAAAGAATGTTTCTTACTATACCAAGGTGGAAGCATGGAGTACCTGTGACTCTAGGAGTGACTGCTGCAGAGCCAATCAACAGAAATTGGTCACCAAAAATTGAAGCTTATCCCAATTGGGACATGCAAACCGTGGGCGATTGTAGAGCTTTTCAATTTGTTCAAAGCATGGAAATTGACCCTAAAGGTCGGATGTGGGTTCTAGATACTGGTCGAACAGCCACCATGACGACAGAAGCAAAATCCAGATGTCCACCACGTCTAGTTATTCTTGACGTTGAAAATAACGGTGACGTTTTACGTAGTTTTCCATTTCCTGAAGATGTAACTCCTCATAATTCTTCGTATCTTAATGACATCGTGTTAGATCATACTGATGGTGGCTATGCATACATTACTGACACAAGCGATCGTGATCCTGGCATCATTGTCTATTCATTACGAGAAAATAAATCATGGAAAATACGTCACGATTCAATGAAAGCTCAGTCAGAAGCTGTCGGGTTCACAGTAGCACGTACCTGGGTCAGAACACCAACAGCTGTCGATGGAATTGCTTTGTCTCCAGTTGACGCTCCAGAACGTTATGTTTACTACTCTCCATTATCATCATTCCATTTGTATGCTGTACTTACTTCCGCCCTGAAAAATAATACTGATAAAATTGATCGATACATTAGTGATATAGGAAGAAAGAGTTCACAAACCGATGGTATGATGATGTCTGCTACTGGTGTTCTCTACTTTGGACTTCTCGCCGATGATGCTGTCGGCATGTGGGATATGAAAGTAATGCCTTCATTTGTTACTGGACAACGGATTATTTCTCGTGATCACGTTCAAATGCAATGGCCCGATACGTTTGCTTTCGATGAAGATGGAAATCTCTGGTGCGTTACTAATTCATTACAAAATTTTATCAATAACAGAGTTAATACACAAACGGCAAACTACCGAGTCATCAGGATCTCCACTGGCACGAAGAGTTATCAATACCATGAAAATGGTAATGCACCTGATGTTCCAATAATTACAGCTGGTGCTGGTGATCGAACAGCTTTGGCCATGGCCACAGTTCTTATAGCTGTCCTTACTTTTGCACTTAAGTAGAAATATTTATCTACAATCATAATCATCATTACTATTTTAAGAATGGAGATCTCCATGACCAACTTCATGGATACTTCGGTCTAGCTTTAATGCATTCTTAACTGTGCAACCGTCCAGTCAATATGGCTTAAGGAATTTAATTATTTTTTTTAAATTCAGCAACACTTCATACATATTTGAATGTAGAATACAATTTGATATATCTTGATCTTTTAGTACATGGTGAAAATATAAATAGATCTACGCACACTGCACATAATTGATAAAGTGCCAGCACAAATTTGATTTATCTACCAAAAAAATTGTTTATTAAATATATATTTATTAATTTCAAATTATTTATCTTGACTCTGTATTTTATTTACCAACACATTCATTTATTCAGAGCACATACGGTTCACGGACAATTTTCTCGTATATAACTACGGGCCAAAGTATCAATAGGTACTATTATATAAGTGTAATTTTTCACACGAGAAAAATGGAATTGATATTGTTTTTAATTAACGTTTAATTGAGATAAATAGAACTAATCGAAATTGTAAAAAAAGCTAGATTTCCGGTGTGTATCATATAGAAACTCTCATGCTCACGAGCAAACCATGCAACCGAGACAAAATACACAACAGGGTTTGTCCTAGTTTTGTAAACATGAATTGGAAGAACATCATTTGGAATTCGTGGTACGCCTGGATTCGTCTGCAGATATCTGATTCCTAGACAAAAAGTGATCTTAGATTAAAATATATTCTCGTGTATATTAATTCAATGAAATATCACATTGTACACCTTAGATTGTACCTGAAAAATTTTATTATTTTCATTTCCAAACTTCACGCACCAGTTACAAAATATAATTTCTCTCATATATATTTTAAGAAATTCACTTTCTCAATTGTTTTCATTCTTTCGTTTGAACCATCAGCCTTTGTCATGCTACGTGATACTTGTACTAATCAATTTAAAATGTACTCGTCTACATTAATAGCTTATAATGAATATTGTCTTCATAAGTTTATTAAATTAATAAGTATAAAATAAGTGTATCATTATTGTTTAATAATCAAATGTTATTAATTGCTACTAAGATTAATTTATAAATATTCTATATAAAATTCAAGCAAATTTTATTTAATTTTTATGCCAGCTTATTTCATATTTACTTGGTTAATATTTACGTTGCAAATGTAAATGTTTTAAATAGTCATAAAAAAATGTTAATTTTGTATTACTCATCTGACTAGTGACGATGATGTAAGATCAATAAATAAAAAATTGGATTGATGATTAACTTGCATATTGCACTTGAAGAAAAAAATCTATAAACGTGAGATAATCGTACCTTGAATGACTCACATTGCCTTCATTTAATGGAGCCTTAAAAAATCTTGTTATGGCCTCGATGAAACATTCAGGTGTGGTAACATCGCGATCGATGATTTCATGTTACACCCGTAGAACGTCAATTGAGCTAGAGATTATTCTACTATTTCTAACAACCCCAGTAGCTACTAATTAACTAGGTTGGTGTTATACATGCTTGAATGTGTCATCAACAAGATATATACATCTATCGTCGCTTCTAAGGTTTCAGATGGAGTTTTTTCTCTTTTCTACAAAAACAGTGATTGGTGGATTTCGAGTAATGCGTATTACTTATGGAATAATCTAATCTTATTTAGAGTTTGCATTCTCAATGGATTCTTTTGTTTACACAAGATCTACACGTTCTTTTATAGAGTATAAGTATTGAATAATATCATCTCTCATTTCATCTATCAAAACTCAGCAGAAATTATTCTTGATTAATTTCAATAAAAACATTAAATAAGTGTTTTACTTACGAGTCGATATTTAATTATTTTCACATAAAATCAATTTTGACTCTTAGGTTATTCGTAAATAGATATTAATATATTTTATATCATACATTTAAGCATCGTCAAATTATTGTTTAGATGAATAATCTATATTTCGGTGTACCAATAAAGTATATATTGTATAAATTCATAAATAAAAAAAATTATAAAACTATTAAATGGGTTGTTTTCAATTTATTTATTCTTACCAGTGATATATTTAGATGTAAGTTGGGTTTTCTTGGTTATAAAGTTCACTAAATAAACACTGGATCAAATCGTCATTATCATTCAGAAAACAAATATTCTTTTATCATGTTGAAATGGTCAGTATTGCGAAATTATAACAAGTTATAAGTTTTAAAGATCTGCATTTTTTTACAATAAAAAAAATATCTGATAATGAGATCACGACCGTTGACACAAATTAGCCATTTTTGAATTTTTATTATAAATTGTTTCATTGTTTTAAAATAGTACAGCAGCGCTGCACGGTAAGTAACATGGCTAGGGATATAATAATTCCTTTATTACCGATAAATGAGATACCAACAAGGCCATCTGTAAATAAAAAACATAACATGCTGTAACATATGTATATAATTTTTTATTTCATACAAACATAGTTTGTTGATCTATTAAACATTTCGTTCATGGTTTTCTGGGGATGAAATATTCCTCTCGTGTACTATACGATTTTTATTATACTATACATAGTTCTGTATGTTCATAATTAAAAATTTGAAAGTTAAAAATACTTTTTATTATTACGTTTTTAATAGTTGATTCGATTTATGTTCAAGTTATCAAGCTAAAAATTCTATGAAAGAACTATTAAAAGGAATAATTTAACTATTTTTAATTTTCATCATGGATAATATCCAAATTTTAAACAGATTAGAAGCAGCTGCACAAATTATTTTGGTAAAGTAATCCACGTGCAATTTAATTATTGTTAAAAGAGAAAAGGAGTAATTTTTAAGCTAATTTTTCTCATAATACAGTAATTAATCTTTTTGAATATTTTTACCTGCTTTAATATCGTAACAGAAGACAAAAACATATAATTAAACGTGCTATAATGTTTATGTGATCCCGAAGATTTAATTTCCCAATAATATTCTATAATCATAGAAACTTTTTTATGATTTCTTATCGCTATAAATAATTTTATAATCCTCATTCACAAAATATTATCTACTATGGGTTCTCTTCAAATTTTGTCTGCTTAAATAATAAATAATTATATCAAGCACACATAAAAACAACTTATAATTATGTTTAAATTGCACTAATAACATTGTTTCACTGATGTAACAATATTATTTCCAGTTAAGAATGAATAATAATAGGATATATTATTTCAGGCGCCTCCAAATCTTATTTCGTCTGAACAACGTCATTCAGCAGAATCAGTTTTTCTAGAATTCCGCAAAACAAAAAGCCCCTATTTACTATGTCAACAAATACTGGAAACAAGTACAGTAGACTATGTAGTATTCGAATCAATTGGACTGATGAAAATAGCATTAATAAGAGAATGGAATTCAATATCAAAAGATGATATCAATTCTGTAAAAGACTATCTACTTCATTATGTAATAAATAAGCTAACGTTAGCACCATTTGTTAGAGAACGTATATTTCAAGTTGTTGCTGTAATAGTGAAGATATCAAGTGTCAACGACTCACGAGAAAACTTTACAATGATATTAAATCAAGTCGAATCCATGATTAGTAATAAAGATTTACATATAGTAATTATTTTAATATTGATTTTGTTAAATTTAAGTTTTTGTTAAACAAGTTTAATAATGTTTTCATATTTTGTTTAATAGAAATTGCTCGGGTGTGGAATAATTGCAGCATTAATGCAAGAATTTTCGATATCGACGAAATCTTCAGACATTGGTCTATCGCTAATATTGCACAAAAAAACAAAATTTAAATTTGAAACAACGGAATTGCCACGTATATATAGGTTCTGTACCCATGCATTATCTGAATTCATAAATAATACAGGATCAGAAGAAGATGTGCCTTTTTTAAAACATTTATTATCAACTTTAGAAGGAATTTTTTCTTGGACTTTCCTTGGTCAAGTTCCAAATAAAAATTTTTATTTACTGCCAACATCGAATAATGCTATTTTTGATCCTTCCATGATTCAACTATTCTTCAAAGTATACAAATTAATACGGACTAATTTAGGATTAGCACATTATGCAAGAAGCTGTTTAGTCGAATTATCTGACATCTGTGAAAACGTCAGGTGTAGTAATGAAGTCGAACTGCAATATTTGTCTTACTATATGGAAGAATTTTTAAGATTAGTTTCTAATATTAATATAATTGATCAAGAAGCACTTGATTTTGCAAATATTGTACATAAATTAGCTAACAAATATTTACCCAAGTTACTACCTAAAGCATCAGACCTTTTTAATTCTTATATGAATCAGGTAATAAGATTAACAGAAGTTTTTGCCAAAGGAGCAATTCAAGAAGAATCAATATGTTCTGATGATTATTTATACACAGAAGCATTTGAAAAAATTCTTGAGACTTGGATAGCGTTGAAGCTTATCTCACTAGAAAATTATCCACAACTTTCTGCGCAAATATTTGATATATATTTGAAGTCTAAATTATCACCACCACAAGGTTTTCATGTTATAAGTCAACAAGAACTAGAAGCAGAAATTACTGAAATTGAAGAAAATGACCGGGAAAAATTCAAGGGCCAACTTCAATTAGTTGGAGAAATAGGAAGAGCAAATTTGAATCATTCTTTAGTTTTATTAGTTCGTTTATTAGAAGAACGAACAAAAGACTTTTGTAATCAACTCAATAATCATAATTTTTTACATCAAACGAAGACTAGTTTGGACAATCTTACAAATATTTATGAAGATCTCCATTGGCTAATATTAATATCAATGCACGTATTAATTATACTTGAGAATGAAGAATATTGTGTTAAGACAATACCTTCAGAAATAATAAAAAATAGCATGTCTCAACTAAATGAAGGTAAAACTAATATAAATGTAACGTTACAGCTACTTGCATCACCTCAATGTAACTTATCAGATATATCTGGTGCTGAAGAATCTGCAGATCATGTTATCCAACTAATTTCATCTATTTTAAGATTATGTGAAATTCAGAAAAAAATGATCAATAGTAATATGTTATATATATTAAGTCCTGAGTTTATTAAATCAACTGTTTGGTTTTTACATCACTGGTCAGATTATTTTTTTCTGCTAGAAGAACAGCTTTATCATGAATTAAGTATTGTTTTTACACAAGCATTCGGAGTGGATAGCGAAGGAGCGCAATGGAGTATGAATTTTATGTTAGACTATACAAGATGTATATTGGATGCCTTCAAAAATGATCAAGAGGTATCTCAAGATTTAATTCTTTTATTAAGAAGTTTAGTCAATTCTAAAGAAAAGTAAGTGTGTCTTTACATTATGTGGCACAAATAACTTGATGTTTTAGTATTAATATATTTTTTATTTATTACAGAGCATTATGCGCCCTAAAATCTGAAAGACTAGATTACTTTATCGAATTAGCAAGTAAAAATAGATTTAGTTTTTCACAAGGTGTACAAAGAGGACTTATAAGTGCTATAACGCAAGTTGGATTACAACTGAAAGATAAATTAAATGACGATCAGGTTTTATCAAAAACTATACAACCATTTAAAGATAAATTTTTACAAATTATTATGGATAATAATTTTTCTCGAACATATCAAGAAGAATACGTTAGAATTGAAATCAGTGAACTTCTAGATGCTTTTATCGGTAATCATCAATTTATTCAACTAAATTTGTGTGTGGCACTCAATTTGAATTGTGTTTGAACTTGGCTTTGATTTTAGGTATGACACAAATTTCAAAAGTGCACTCTTCTATGGATTGTCTACTAGAACGTCTTTATCCGGTATTGTCTGAATTGGCACGTCTATTATCATTGTATCATAATTATCCAATGATAGTAAGATCAATTTTAGAATTGTTGTCTAAATGCGTTGGATTCCCAATTAATAAATTTCATCAGGTATTTATTATTCTTTTAGCTATACTTAGCTATATCTTAAGGATTTAAGAATTGGAACTGGATAAAATGGATTAAATCTAATTTCTTAGGAAAACAATATTAATATAAGCAAACTTTTTATGGATAATATTCAAGCATATGCACGTTGTAATTTAAACAAATGTACGAGAAATGTGACTGAAGAAAATGATCTCCTTGAAGATCTTATATTAATTGTGCAAACATTGATTGTGTTTATATCACAAAATTATTATTCTCCCGCATCAACTATTGAAGTAACGTTACTCTGTTTAAATTGTATTATACCAATGATGACTATTGAGATACTTAGGTATCCATCGTTATGTCAAAAGTAAGTCACAAATATTATATAAATTCATTTAAAAATATTTGTTGCTATTTGAATTTACTTTTTGCAGGTATTATGAGTTATTAAGTATTATCTTTAGTGAAGCCTTATTAACATTACCACCAGAAACTCTCAAGCAAGTGATGTCTTTTTTAGAATTCGGCCTCTACTCATTTGGAGAAGAAATAACAGAATTGTGTTGTTTGACGATAAAACAACTAGCTGAATGCATTTTGAAAGAAATGTTACAACAACAAAAAAGAAATTTAATATTAGTGCCATTTTTAAATGTAAGATTTTTTTATAATGAAGAAAAAATAAATTACAGTGATATCATAAAATTATGATAGGTCTGTTAATAATTTTTTTCAATTTACAGATATTATTCAATCTCCATCAAACGAAACAAATAAATTCATCAACATCAAATGTAAACGATGCAATGCTTTATTTGATTTACTGTTATCACGATGAGTATCAAAAAATAATACAAAATTACATAGCTTCACAATCTAATCCAGAAATGCAACAAAAAATAGCAGCAGCTTATGCAGAACTAGTAATTGATATCAAATCAATAGATGACATAAATGCCGATAAAAATAAAGATTTTGAAAATTTATTGAATACTCTACGAGATGTTATGGTTATAAAATAATGCAACAATGCCATTTATTGACTGTATATGGGTGTAAAATTTTATTTGATGTTTATTACGATCGTAAAATACTTGACAATTACAAGAAAATAATTATTAAATTATTTTTTATAGCTATTATAATTACAGATAAATATGACATATTTTACCTATATATACATAAAATTACTTTTTCTACAAAGATCATACCTTGATATTTTTGTGCGCATTTTCATTAATATTGATATTTTGAGAATATTTTAATTATCATTAATCATAACAAGATATTTGATAAATTAAAAAAAAATCAACTTCGTCAATTATCACATTTTTTTTAATATCACATAAGATAAAAAATTATTTACATTGTCTATAAATATAAAATAATAAATTATAAAAATGAAAATATATTGAATTTAAAAATAAGATATGTTTATATATATATATATATATATATAATTTTGATTAAAATTATGATTCGAACTATGATTTATGTACAAATTCAAATGAATAAAATTACATAAAGATTTTTTATGACTTATTAAATGCTTCGTTAAATAATTCTATTATACATCAATGATAGATAGATGAGAATTAAATTCTAAATACTGTATAATGCTTTTTTGATATAATATCATTATTAATTGGAATTAAAAGTTTTGTACGAAAATTGTTGTATCCACCATTTAGTGAGATTCAAATAGAAATTTGGACCTTCTGGTTCATAGTCAAGGTAAGTAAAATCTTTATTACTTACAGGTTTTGCTGGTTCAATTTGAGTTCCTTCATGCCATTCGTTGAAAGATGTAATAGATACTATGTTTGCTCCACTATTCATTGCACTTTTCCACGCCACTTCATAATATTGTCCGTGACGACGATATCTAATATTTTCAGCATTCCATGGACGCACCTGTTCAATAATAATTAGTTAATTAGTAATTTTTTACCCAAATACAATTATTATAAATTAAAATAATTATGTTATAAGTACATTACCTGTGTGTCAATGTAGCCAGGTCCAACACTAGGAATAAATAGAAGATCGTTATCGTTTGCGAATTTATTCAAATCTTTCCAATTTTTCCAAGTGCTTCCATAACTGAACCCATTAACAGCAAAATAAGTGTAGAAACCATCAAAGTGAGATTTTTTAATTTGACTACGATGCTGTGAATCTACTAATAATCCAATGTACACGGCATCAAATTCAGTTCTTCGAAGAGTTAAATTTCCTCGTTCGGACAAAAGTTCCCACCAAGCACTTGGTGGGAATAAATACGAATCGTAAATGTAGATCATCGGTAACAAAACTCCACTGTAATAAGATGTGTTTAAGTATATATAAAATCATCTCTAAAATATTTAACTATTTTTTTTTTTTACGTTTTAGGCTTTTTAACTCTATGAAGAGCAGGATGTGATGCATATCGCTCAAATAAATATTTAATGTGGTCAATTAAATTAATAGGATTCCTTCCTGGATAAGGCTCAATATGAGGAGCTATTTTTAAACTGTATCGATGCGCTGCGTCTAATAAATCAGCCATTAGTGAATCTGTACTATCGGGAAGATTAGGTGGTATCCAAGAAACTACCAATACTCCAACACCAGTTTCCTTCAACTGTTTCATGTGTAGATCAATCACCTAATATATAAAACCAATCAATATCATTACACAAAACAAATACAAGTATCGAACAAGCATATTTTTTATAAGCTTTATACCTGTGGATCATTGGAACTGTAACATCCAAGGCTAGGATAAAAATTAGTTCCAATATCAGCGGGTGGTTGATGAGTACCTACTGGATAAACTTTCTTGTCATTTTTTTTCCAATTGGGTATATAATTATGATTCCAATGCTTCCAATAGCCGTCATATGATAAAGAACGATACCATGGATAATAAAAAATGTGAACATGATAATTAACATCAAAATCTTTGGCATTTTTTTGAGATAATAAAGGTAAAACTTTATTTCTCATTTTCCAAGATAAATCTGGCACTTTGATTTGCATATTATTTTTATTAGTATTGATCCTAATGTCTGAGAACTTATCATCACGATATTCCCGTTGACTTTCATTATTGGAATTTAATTGCGAATTAATAAATAGTGAGCCATTATTATCTGAGTACCGATTATGTGCTATTGATCCAATAGGTATAGCACTGCTCCATTCAATTCGAGCTGTTGTCTCATCAGCATTTGCGGAATTACACTTTGTAGATTCTAACGGTGTTAATTTCACTATAATCATCATTGCCATTAAGGTAGACAAAATAAATACCATTGACGATAAATAAAAACATCTTCGCAGTGAAACAGCACTAACAAAACTTCCCAGCATCATTGCAAATTCTCTTTATTTTGTTATTGTCGATTAATATGGCACTGATATCGTAGAAGATAAATAACTATCGTATCTGCAAAAGAATAATATAAATATATAACTAAATCTTTAAATAAAAATAATGTTAATTATTTAAAATATTCATGTTTCTATTTGATAATGAAAAAGTGAAAGTTTTATTTACATTATCAGAAAACTTACGCGTATAGAACAATTAATTTTATCATGATTAAATATTTGGTATCATTTTCAAATATGAGTTACTCGATTAAACAATCAATAAGTTTTTCAAATAGAAATTAATTTAAATTTTTATTGACCCCGATTAAACAAATTATTCTACTCTTCACTGAATCCATAAACTGCATATGTATAATTGTTTTTTGGTAATGAGCGATTTACACAAACATGAATATGTACACACACGATGTACATTTATACATGCGCAATGAAATGAATACGCATCCATACTTTTCTTCCACTAACATAACATTTTTCTTTAGAGGTAAAGTAGAATTAGATAATTTGTTGGACGCTCTTGGATCTTTTACCAACAGATCATAAAGTAAAAAGAGGTGTTTATTATGAATTACTTCAAATTTTTTTTCTAATTAACAAATAAATTAACCTCAAAAATTGAATTGTTCAACAAGTGGACGCACACAAAGTGTAGAATATTGAATTCCTATGAATAAGTGAGAAAGACAAAAGGTGAGGTTCGAAGTGTGTATGTAATGGAAAATTTTGAAAGTAGACCCATATATGTATGACTATTCTCTACGTCATCAACGACTTAGCTATAGTGAAATTGCTGATGTGTTATATCGTATAATTCTACTGCAAATGCAACAAGAGTGTGTATTTTTTTAAGATTATGTAAATTAAATTTTGGGTGTGTATTAGGAGAATGTATAAATTATGAAATTTAATAGCTAGTTGATGAAACACATTGGCTATTAACCAATAAGGTTTATATAAACTTCAGTAATTTTAATTAAATTTCATGAATTTTGATAAGAGAGAATGAAGATTAGTATTGAATGATTGGTCAATTACTATTTTGGAATAAATATTACTCAGTTGATGATAATAAATTAACATTCAAGTGTGTGTCGACGAGTTTATTTGACAAAACAAATTCTACAGTCAAGTTCTTTCGATCATTCGCAATTAGTATATTTTATTTTGTGGTTAGTAACATCAAAATTTGATTGAAATGCCGCTTTTTGGTAAAAAAGACTCGAACAAAAAACTAAAAAAGGATGGAAAGGATGAGAAAATGTCATCTGTTGATGAAAAATATATACTTAAAGAACTTCTTGGAACGTAAGTATTACATTATTATTTTATAGATTTTAATATTTCTCTGTCCAATAACAGTAGATTATAAATAAGCATGAATTATTTTTCTTTACATGTTTTTATAAAATATATAAATATATCAGAATTATTAATAAATAACGTCTTTGTTGATAACACACGAGTCAAATGCCAACATGACATTTGTTACATAACTTTACCAGTCAAACTATTTACATACTAGTTAAATTATATCAAAATATAATATTCAAATAGTAAATAAACTATTTTCTTATTGAGATTAATATATTTTCTCTTTTTTTTTTCAGGGGAGCTTTTTCAGAAGTAAGACTCGCCGAAAGCAAAGAGAAGCCTGGTCAGATGTATGCAGTCAAAATAATTGACAAAAAAGCATTGAAAGGAAAAGAAGATTCGTTGGAGAATGAAATTAGAGTATTGAGAAGGTAGTACAAACAAATTTGTATGTTAATAAATTATTACATTTTAGTAATTATTTCAAATGTCTTGCTAACAAATGTTATTTAAACCAAGCTAATTTTAATACAAATATTTTTCTCATCTAATGCCGTTTATTTTTTAAGTTTTACGTTCGTTTGATAAGCATTTTTGAAAAATAAAACTTGAAAATTGAGAAGCTTGTCATAACTAAAGTATTTTTATTTTTCTTTGTTTCAGCATGCATATATTATGCGCGCTTTATTTTATTAAAATATTCGCGATTGTGTCATATCAACGTTATTGAGTAATTTTACATATACTGATCAATTGAGTTTGCCTAATTTTTTATTAATTTGAAGGTTATTATGATCCATCCTTCTTTTCCTTAATTTTTTTTTATTTTTTTTGTAGTAATGTATGCAGTATTACAGTAGTGATTCTAAAGATATGCTCATGGACTAAGTGTTGAAATCGTAATTATATCAATCGTTAGCCGATATTTCTGAACTAAAATACATACAATTGCGAGTTGAATTTGAATGAAAAAAGTGGTAAAAAGATATTATTTCTTTGTAGACATATTGAATGACTTAATTCTACTATTGGTACATATCATGTATCAAATTGATTACACTTGAGTCATTATTCCTATTCTTTTACAAACTAAAAAAAACATGTTCTTACATCAGAATTAAATTGTAGCAATTTTTTATACCATCTTTATTATTTATAAAATTCTCCGTCGTCATTTCGATTCTTTTTTTTTTATATTAATTTATTTCTATATATATTTTATTAAAATAATTATCAATATAATCCCGTCACTTAGGTTTTTTTACTTATTTCTTCTTTATATAATTTTTATACTTTTCCCGAATAAATAAAATTAATTACAAAACAATGGTTTTCAATAGAATAAAATTGATGGCGAAGTATAGCTGGTATGATTTTTAGAGGAATAAATTGAGAAAACGCACTTTTAGGCGTTTATTATGTAATTGTGTATGGTGTTATTATAATTCGTAGGTTCAGTGAATCAGTGACACCACAGAGTGGTGATGGGCCGATCAAGTCTAATATAATTGGCGAAAGAGGAGGGTAAGTGAGGGCCCATTTTTACGGGAATCACCTGCCTTTACCACTCTAATTTTTATTTTATCATTTTTTACAAGTATTCCTCAACATTGCCACATACTAATTATCATTGTTCAATCAAACATGAAACGATTTGAAGTCTTAACGTCACAGATAATGTAAAAAAAATTTTTTTTAATTAAGAAAATTGACAATTAAGTCAATTAATAAGCGTTCCGACATATAATTACGATAAATCTATGCATGAACTGGACAAATAACAACGTGTTTTATTAAACTCTCGTTTGTAACGACTCTGATAATCATCAGGACAAATTCATTGACTTTTTTTATCCTTATAATAATCTCTCATGCCTAAGTATCATTATGCAATGCATATGTGTGCGTTTATTTATTGTTATATTTATTTTATATAATAATTACGTTTTTATCGATGCATGTTTACGTTTTATCAGGCAAAATTATTATTATATTTATGCTTATCTTTGATATATTTTAATTAGGCGTGTGAAAAAAAAATGTCAGATATATTTATTATTTATTTTATCTGCTACGTAGTAAAAGGGAAAAATATTCTACAATATTGATAACTATCAAGATAATATGTTGATAAATAGAATATTTGAATACCCTTTATTAATTAATTTTATAATTGTTACAGGTTAACACATCCAAACATTGTCCAACTGTTAGAAACTTTTGAAGATAAACATAAAGTTTACCTCGTAATGGAGCTGTAAGTTAAATTTTATTTCCTATTAAATTTAAGTGAGTAGCTCGGTTATTGATTAGAGGAAAATTTCATTTGATGCTTTCATGTTTTTATTTTCACAAGGGTCGGATGAAAACTCAATAAATTTCTCAATAAATAAAATCAATAGATGATGGTTAAATTTAAAACATTTTCATATAAAATTTAAAAGAATTACAAACGTGAGAGTTTTCATCAATAAACCCATGTTTATATTTCAATAAATATATAATATATAATTAGCAAAGATGGAAGCACATAATTACACAAAGAAAAATAAATAAAAAAATATATTTATGAAAGAAATACTGTTAAAGGATTTTTAATTAAAAGAATTTAGAGTGTTGGTGCTGATTATAAAATGCTCAATAGATTTTATATTCACTTTAATTAGTTGAAGTAATGAATTTTATAAAATAATTAATTTTTGCAGTGTTACCGGAGGCGAACTCTTTGATAGAATAGTAGAAAAAGGTTCCTATACAGAAAAAGATGCATCTGGACTAATAAGACAAGTCCTGGAGGCAGTGGATTATATGCATGAACAGGGAGTTGTTCATCGTGATCTCAAGCCAGAAAATCTTCTCTATTATAGTCCTGATGAAGATAGTAAAATAATGATTAGTGATTTTGGCCTTTCAAAAATGGAGGATTCAGGAATTATGGCAACAGCCTGCGGTACTCCAGGCTACGTTGGTACGATTTATTTATGCTAAATACTTTAATTACTATTTTAATGAAACATTCTTTATTTTAAACCCTCTGCAGACTACGAAGATTTGGTAGTTTATTTTGAATTTTAAAACCCTTTTGAATATTAAGAAAAGTAATTAATGTAATCATTTATTAAAAAAGGTAATTCATGTTTTATATTTAAATTCAAATGCTCAAGAGATAAAAGTAATTTATTCAAGTTTTAATTTACTAGTTTAAGATAAAAATACTTGAGTGATTAATCATGTCTGTGTGGTTTCTGATTTCAGCTCCTGAAGTTTTAGCACAAAAACCTTATGGTAAAGCTGTTGATGTGTGGAGTATAGGTGTTATATCGTACATTTTATTATGTGGATATCCGCCTTTTTATGATGAAAATGATGCTAATCTTTTCGCACAAATTCTGAAAGGTAACATTTTTATATCTCTAATAATTAAATATTAACAATTTTCTTTGTCGTATTTATTATATTAAAAAAAAATTTTTTTTAGTAACTTTATCCTTGACACAATTTTCTATAGTGTAACAGTTTTGTAGAAATTTTTTTTACTTAAAAATCTTTAAACTTGTTTGTAAAAATTTTCTTTTCACTCCATGTTGTTAAATAATATTATTAAGTTGTCAGTGAAAGCTAATAAGGCTGTTACAGGTGAGTTTGAGTTTGATTCACCCTACTGGGACGATATAAGTGACTCAGCCAAGGACTTTATTCACAAGCTCATGTGCGTTAACGTTGAAGAGAGATATACTTGTAAACAAGCTTTAGCACATCCATGGTAAAGTGCATTCAAAATTTTTTTTTATCCATATTTTTATTTTTCTCATCCAAAGTTTATTGAGTCAAGACGTCGAATTTTAACCATCTTATTTAAAGAGATTATTCTAATTATAGATAAAAGTATTTATCAAGAATGATAATTAATTAGATAAGTGATTATTTTTTAGTTTTATTGATTTAATATAAAAGATGGTTGAAAATAAACGGCTTTACTCTATCGGGATAATATGTACTATTAACATTTAGGATCTCCGGTAATGCTGCAAGCAATAAAAATATCCATGGTACAGTATCGGAACAACTTAAGAAAAATTTTGCAAAGTCAAGGTGGAAGGTTAGTATAAATTGATTTCTTAGCACCGCTGATTGTGGTTGTGTTTACTTACCAGGCACCGTAGGAAAGTCTCCCTGTTGTCTCATGGTTGCAGCAAGCATATCACGCGGCCACGGTGATTCGTCAGATGCAGAGGCTGGCGCTCAACAGTGGACATCAACAGCAGCAGCAGGACTTAGAAATGACAGGGTCCTCTGCAGGCAATCAAAAATCAACGAGGTCCGACCAGTCTCATGCCAATCCTATTCGTCCTCATCGAAAGTAAGATCTACCAATAAACATCTGCTTCAAAAAAATCTTGACCCAAAACGATCGACGGTCAACATGCCACCAATATCTATTGCTTCTAATTCTTCACAGTTATCTACTGCTTATCGCTCTCAATTGTATTTCCGTAACAAACGCTTTCAGCTGTTGTGGGCTGATACACGCACTGCATTCACTACTCTCTTTCGAAAAAATACTAATTACTTAAAAAGAAAGAAGCGTTTACATAAATAATTTGAATCTCATTACTTACTTTCTTTTTTTATTCATTTACCTGGATCTGATAAAATTTTAATGAGCTCTACCTAATTACCTTTACCTAATATATATATTTTTTTTTCTAGTATCAAATGTTAATACAATGATAAATGTAACTTGTAAATAATCATTCCTTAATCAATTTAATGATAATACAACGACATATTTTTCATTATATTTTATGAAATAATGATAATGTTATTGATATTATTTTGGATAAGCAAAATATGTTGCGTATTCTAAACAAATATATAACAATTATATCAGTGAGTAACGGGTATAAAATACTAGTAATAATTTAATTTTAATAAAGATTTCTATAAAATCATTATTTCATTTATTTTTAATAACAATATCATTAAATTTAACATTTTACTTTACGTGATATGTATCAAATTAATCTTAATGATTCTGTACAGTACATCTATACGCTTCGTCTAGATATATTACCGTCAAGTTTTTCAATGAAAATACTTGTTGGAAAAAAATACATAATCTCTATAATTATTTTCTATATACATATATATATACACAAAAATTTACTGAAAGTTAAAAATAATGAAAATAGCACATATTTGTGTTGATATTATGTACATTAATTTCTTTAGAATTTCATATTGCGGTTGCTAAAGAGAATAGAATCGCTTATTGCTGATACTTGAAAACAAATATAATATTAAAAAGAAATAATTCCTTTTCCTATGTAAATAATATTATAATTAATTAAATTTTTTATTTGTACATGACTTATAAGCCGATCTGTTAAATGTATGTAATATATTTTAAATAATATTTTGGGGGAAAAAATGAATAATAAAACTGAAAAAAAAAATTTATTATCACGTTAAAAGACACATTGTGTGGATAGGTAAGGCTGTACGATATTTTAATCAAGTTTTATAGCTTTATTTTTCAACGGTTTACATCGTTAAAAATATATTTGATGCACAAATATTAGTAAATATACATTACAAAAAGATAAAATTGCAGTAGTATGAAAAAAGACATACATATACATACATGATTAATAATGTATTATCTAGAAATTTTTATTATCTCGTGCAAAATAAATCAATAATTGAAAATGCAAAATTATCTTATTGTGTATAAAGTACAATTTTATCTACACAATGAATGACTGTACCAGTTTGTCAATGGAATTGTAATGACACAGATTCAAGAAAATACAGTTGATTTCATTCGATTTCCGTATATAATGAGATTTATTTATGCATTATATGCTGCCAATGTTTCCTGTAATTTTGAAACTATTTTCTGATAAAATTCAATTTGTTCAACCAGATGTTTCTTAATTGATTGATGCATGTGAATATCAATCTCCGATTGAAAATGAGTTTCCTCAGCCATCAATGCTCGAGCTATCACATCTGTTCGACGTGACAATTCGCGTAACTCTTGTGGTTCCATTTTATGTTCACTGACTAGTCGTTCACAATCTTTTCTCTTTTGGGTTGCGCTCTATAAAAATGAAAAACAATTAATTATAATTAAAAACCGTAAATACTCCATATTTATAGGTATAATTATCAACGCGTTCAAGTTTTGACATAAAATATATTCATAAAAAACAACTCTGGTGTTTATAAAATATTTAATAATTATCACAAGTTTTCGATTTTGCTAATTATTAGATTTTCAGATAGTGATAAAATGTAAAAAAATAAAATAAAGGTCTACCTTATGGATAGCAATAACATCTGGGAAGTTACTGATAATACCACGATAAATATGAAATCTATCGGCAAGTGGTTCCCAATCAAATCTTGGCTGTTCTTCATACAATTTACCAATGTCATTGTAGACTTGACCAGTAAGTTTTAAAGCACTTGTTAATCGAGCACGATCACTACCTTCAGCTTCCAAAGCATGCCCGAGTGATGTAAAAGATTGTCCTATTTTTTGGAATTCTCTTTTGTACAAATTTTGATATTTTTTTCCTTGGTCCATAGCCGTTGCCATAAAATTTTTAACTACGGGATCTAATCCATTAATAAACCGAGTCAATCCATCAACTTTAATATCCATTTTTATAGAATCTACTGCTAAATCACTACATTGAATAGCATTAAAATAATTTACTCCTAATAATTCATCTTTTTCAGCCTGACGCTTTCCGGCTTTCCAGAGTTTTCCATCAGTACACGTAATAAAATGCTGCCAAACACGACTCCTTGACAAAACAGGATGTCGACAAACATAATCGACAAATTCCTGTAGTTGGGTCCGACGGTGTTCTATAAATTGTTCATCATATCTTCCAGATATTTGTTTATCTGGTAGAGGAGGAATTGCTAGGAAGCAATATTTACTTTCTAAACGTTCATGTAGCCAGTCAAAGTGTTTATATCTTCTTGAAACTTGAATGTTATTAAACTGTAAAGAAAGAACATATCATCACTAATCAACCTTTAATATTCATAGTTGATAAACAAAGAGATTGTCGATTATTAATAACAACTAATCATTAATGAGTTCTAAAAATATGATAATAAAAATTAATAAAATTATGTAGCATAAAATTTTAATATTTTTTCGGTTTGAATAAATTCATTTTTAATATAAATGATTATCGAATTATTTATGATAGATAAGTACCGTTGGCGTAAGCTGATAAACAATGAAGCTTTTAAGACCCTTAAGCTTTGATCCTTTTTTGGGTGATGTGACGACACAGTTATAAACATCACCATGTGGAAGCCAATAACAGTGACCATCCTCAGTTTCTTGAACAAATATTTTTTCATCCTCAGGAACTATTAATGTTTTCGTACCCATCAAAAAGCTATCTTCTCCTGATTTGATAAGAGTTGAAAATTTGTTATTTTTCTTAGGTATATTGGTAATGCTTCTTTCAGATACGATTGGGAATGTGTGAGCTGTTGGCATAGAGATAAGATCATTTGGATGATTTGTAACGCCCATTTGACTTGCTGCAAATTCATCCATCTGTGATTGTTGATACTGATTATTGCTAGGAGTATATGGCTGACTTTGTCCGATTTCTGAATCATCATCCCAGTCATCATCCCAATAATCTCCGCTACTTTGACTCACTGGGGCTGTGGCTGTAACTGTTGATGAGTCTATCGCTTGAACATAAGCTGCCGGAAAGAGACCAGATTGGCCAAGATGATTGTATCCTTCACACCATCCATCACCAACATTATCTCGAGTGACAGTAAGAATTTCACCAGCGTTAATTGATAATTCTGCTGTGCCAGGTTCTCCCGAAAAATCATATACAGCTCTAACCTAATGTAGAAACCGTTCTTTTTAAGAATTAATGACGTAACTAAGATGTTAATTTGTGAATTAAGCAATTATAGTATACAATACCTGCTTATTCTCCATTATTTTACAGTGGAATATTAATTTCCTTTGTAATTGAATATTAAACGCTTACATTTAATTTAGCAATTATCAGCAGATTTTTGAGATTAAAAAAATATTGTAACAATGATTACTTTTAATGAGAACAACAATGAATAAGTAATCTAAAAATATCACAAACACTCTTCTATTTTCTTTTATAACCTATCCTTTTTATAAATTAAATACAGAAATATAATTTATAATACTTTATCGTGCTATCACGCACAATTGTAGTAAGTGAATATTTTAGAGATTAAATAATATCAGAGGATATTGTTAAATGATAAATTGACATACGTGTCATTTTACAAAAAACTATCTATGTAATTTGAACTAAAGGTAACTTTTTTACTCCAGAATATCACTCAATAAGCTCCAATTGACTATACACTACAAATTTACTTAAAAAAAAAACCTTGTATAAATCCGTAAATCGTTAATTGATAATAATCAACGTCCACCAAGTTGTTATTAATTTGTATGCTTAACCAAAAGATAATTTTTATTTGACATTTTTATTTATCAAATGTACTACACAACTATAGTTTATGCATGAAACTACAAATTTATCCGTTTGTGCTTTATTTACCAACGGTGGAAAATATAGACTTCATTCGAGCTTATTTAGTTATTTTTAATTTTTTTTTTTCATAACAAAGATTAATTGTTAGATATCAAAGTAATTGAAAATGACTTTATTGTTGTATAAATTTAAGAAGCAAAAATAGTCATGAGTATCTCATAATTGAATAAAAATTGATCCAGTCTACATATCACACCTACAGCTTAGCTCACTCAAACTTAAGCCAAGGGAAAATATTTTTGGAGCAAATTTTCATAAATATCCTTATCAGTCTGTAGGAATAGGCAAAATATGACTCTTTCGAACTAAAACATTAATTTAAATAAGTCATAAATTATTTTTCATTTCTTGTGATATTATTTTTTTCATTTAATGTTTACCTGATCTTTATTTTCTTCCAAAAACTGTTTTACAGTTGTAATTGCTACTTCAGCAGCTGGTCTTTGAGGATACCCATAAACTCCAGTAGAAATACAAGGAAATGCTATAGTCTTTACTCCATTTTCTTTAGCAAGCTCTAAACTATTTAAATAACATTTTTTTAACATTTCGGGTTTTTCACCACGAGGGCCGACTGTATGAATTACATCTGAAAGAGTCAGGAAATGATTAATTACGGAGCTTAAATACAATTATACTCAATTTAAAAGAAGGTTTACTAACATTTAGCTGGAAGTTTGTAGCCTCCAGTTATTTTTGCTTCACCAACATTACATCCACCAAGACTAGCACATTCTTTTTTAAGACTTGGTCCAGCTGCTCGATGAATAGCTCCATCAACTATTATATCATATTAATTTTACTTGAGTATCTATTACTTTGAAATGATAATAGAATGATGAATAAATTATATAATTACCGCCACCTCCTCCTAGTAAACTTGAGTTAGCAGCATTGACAATAGCATCTATTTCAAGAGATGTTATGTCACCTTGCCACATTGATATTTTATTAGCTAAATTAGTATCATCTTTTATTTTATTTTTCGCAAAATATTCTGGCCATGTTAAAACTTCATCTAAAGCTGTTACTTTTGATGTTTGATAGTGCTTTCTTTTATCTTCTAGATTCATTTTTAAAAATTTATCTGTAAAATAAATTGGCGCTTCAATACTCAGCCTAACAGTTGAATGGATGATATTTAAAAAAAAATTAAATGACCCTGATAAAGTACCTTTATCTCCTTGAAATGACATTTTAGCTGTTGTTGAAAATATTGATAAACTTGTTATTGATATTTTATCTAAAGCTCCTTTAAATTGTATGAATACACTTGGTTTTAATACCTATAAGATTACACGTTTTTAATTGATGTCCTTTATTTAAGGTGTATTCTTAAAGAATCTTACTTTCAGTAACATTCTGTTAATAAAATAGTAAATGATTTATTCCATCTAATATGTATTGATTGAGTTTTCAAAATATAGCCATCTTTATTGATACCCAAAAAAATGTGCAAAACAGCTGCTAAACCTTTTCGCCATCTGGCGATTGTCTAGAAATACAATTTAAATTGCTAAACTAATTATTAGTAAAGCCACATATATATTTTTATAGCTGGATTAAATGTTTCACTTATTGAGTAGTTTAACTTAAATAAACAAGTTAAGATTTAAATTTTTTAGTTTATATTTTTATTATGACGCATAGATGCTTTTAATATTTAAATCCTTATATCTAGTTATAAATTAAGGTTATCAATATTTAATTAAAATTCTTTTGCTATTCAACTAATTAAAAATAATAAAGATATGTTTTATATACAGTCGTCTAACAAATTTTTTATTTGTTACATTTGAATTAAATACTGTACAATGTTATTATTTTTTTTTTAGTATCTAAATACACAGGAATGAGTAAAAATTATTGAATAGCTGATACTTAATTATTCATATATAATCCGTCGAAAAATTTGTTTCAATAAAATTAAAAAAAATTATGCTTAATTTATAAACAACCTTGTAGAGTTTGCAAATACAAAAAAATGAAATATTAATTACATTTTCGTCGATGTTAAAGTGAGTAATAAAATTAAATATTAAAATTATATGACATTCACAAACGATTATTAGTTTTATCCTTTAACCGTTGAAAAATTAATAATCACGATTGATGACAGCATATACAACTAATACGTTTATTGACAGCGTAAAGTTGTATATCTCTTGAATGTTAGAGAGATTCCGAAGTTAATTATCTTTCGCTATTCCAGTAGCTTTTGCCGATGATTTCTGAAGCATAAAAAATAAAATTATTTTGATAGAAAATTTTCTTTAAAAATGCCAGACAAATTTTGTAAAGATTTATAACATTGTTTTAATAATAAAATACGGGGCAGGATTTTAAGTTAAAGTTTTAAAGAATTTATTTGATTTTAAAGGTGACAATCAGTTGAAAAGACGATTCATCAAGTCGATATTGACGAATAGTCGTCAAAAGAATAAGATTATATATTACTGATATAATAATGTAAAGAATTTTCATTGATAAATACTTTACTATAGTATAGCAGCAAAAATTTCGCCAAAATAGACTTGACGTACCGTTTTGGGGAGATCGTAACGAACCTTGTGGTTATGAAATTGGCAGAGCAGAGGTACTGCCACTAGCGATGAAAGCCATTGGTAGAATGCATGGGCTGTGGGGGCAGCTGATAGTACGGCAAGGCTGGCAAACCATTAGGATAACCAACCCCACCTCCAGGGCCCGGTAACGGTGGCATTGACGTGAGAATATTAACGCCAGGTGAAGTTCCACCGTCACCATGACGTTGGTGGTAACCAGGCGCCACGGCTGGCCCAGATAGGATCGACGATCCCGTGCGAAGTAGATGGGGCATCGTTGGGATTTGCCGAAGATGAATTGTGTTTCCTGGTGGCCTTTCTTCCGGTTCAGTAGGGAGAGGAGGTAATACAGATGGAGCTGAAGGAGGTGGTAAAGGAGGTAAAGGAGCTGGATGGTGTTGAAAGGGTTGAGTTTTCAAAGTTCGAGTCGAAAAAGTATCCTCACCCGTTGGTGGACTGGCTGATGACTTGCCTGTACGATTATTCACCGGACTCCGACTCCTCGAATAGCTGCGACTATAACTTCGTCTTCCTCCTCGACCATTTCGTTCTTTGCTCACACTTCGACTGCGACTTCTTGAATAGCTTCGATCCTTTCCACTTCTTGGTGTACGAGTACGCCATCGATTTCTACCTGTATTCAAAATAACTATCGTCGTTGATGATTTTTTATTTACAGAAATTTTTCTTTACAATTATTATCTAGACTCTACATTCATTCCTTTATTTACAGATATTTTGACCTTTTCTCAAAAATATCTATTAACCAAAATCATCAAGTTATTTATTAAAATATTCAATAGTCTAGTAATGAAAATAATATACTAAAGGATCAAAACATCTTGAATCTAATGCTTTTACGTGTTAATATTCAATTCAACTTTGATCGCACTTTCACATTTAAATGGCATTAGTACAGCTCACCTTTTTGTCTACCAAAGGCTCCAGCTCGACTGTCTACAAGCTCTAATAATTTTGGATTGATGACTTGATTAGCTTCTTTCAATACTTGAATTAAGTCATTAGCTTTATTTGAATTACTTGGTGTAAAGAAAGTGTAAGCTGTTCCGGTTTTTTGTCGTCTACCGGTACGACCGATACGATGTACGTAGTCTTCAGAACATGATGGATAGTCAAAGTTGATAACAAACTTGACGTCTTCAACGTCTGAAATGGATAAGGCAATTAGTTATATGTTATAAATTTAATAATCAAGCCTGTGTACAGAAATTTCACTTTAATTGGGCAACAGCGCGAATTTGTCCTATATACATTAAAGATTTACGCGTCTAATAAATTACTCTATTAAACATTTTTTGCTTTATTTTACCATAAGCTACAGTCCCTCTGGCATAAAAAAATAATATCTTCAATGTGAAAAATTAAACTTTATTATATTTTATCATTAAAAGTTTCTTTTTAATAATTATTAAATTTATTAATTAAATATAATAAATGTTTTAATAATAGCAAATAACTCCAAAACGTGCAAAAAGATCAAGCTCTTTTCAATCAAAAAATCAGAATCCAATGAAAAATATGAGATAAACGAAAAGGGTAAAAAGTTAATTACTCATTTATACTTTTAATCTTTCAAGCATTTGATAATAATTTTTAAAAAACATAAATGCATGGATAAAAGGCATTAAAAATCAGTACACTTTACACTTTGTAAGCAGTAGTTATTTAAAGGACCGAAGCTTATGACTGCAGTGCTCTATTAATTACAAAAAAATAAATAAATAAGAAACTAAATCAGTGTTAAAAACCGAGAAATGAATGAAAGGTAATAAAGGCTATTTAAACGACAGTAAGATGAGAATGAAGAGAAAGAAAGCAAGACAAAGTAAAACAAAAAACAGATAAAGAATAGCAAGAAATGTAGTAATTGTGATATGAAATAATTTGATTGGTCTATCATACTAAAGTAAATCAGTGGGCGAATGTCGCTAGCAACGTACGGGCAGGGCCTGGCTGTTTGAGCTCGTTCCAGCTACAGCCTCCGCCGATCTGTTGCTATTGGGACCCACGAGAGGCCCTGGCATCCTCAAGTATGCCATCGCCTCATCGGTGACCCCGCCGTTGGGCGGGCTACTTTTAGCTCGAGTGACCAGTAGATGGGGTACTCTAGACTGGCAACAACGACTCGGCCAGCCCAGATGCCAAACGACGCTGCGTAGTACCGAGAAATCCGTTATTGTAGGCAGAATAAGAGGACCTGATTAGGCCCAACATTGACCCATCACGCAATTGACGATAGAGGCACGCGCAGCAGCCACCGCAGACAATGCAAACTTGTGCACCACCGAATATAAGACGGCGGAGCACCTCCGTTTGCTTTGCATTACCCGGCGTGGACCTGCGCGCAATGTGCCTCTGCAATCCAAACAAACATCCAGCCGCGTTAGCTACATATTTTTACTCTGTTTATTTAGTTTATTTTATGAGATAATTTTTTTTCTATTTACTTTTATCTAATATGTACCCTTTATTAATAGCTACTTATAAACTTTATCAACTACTTCTTGAATTTTATGATATTTGAAAGTTAATGAACTACTTGAACAACATGATAATAGACTTCAACCAGTAAATAAAAATATCTTTACAAACAAAAGATTTTAAATTAAGTTTTAATTGAAAATTAAATTTAATGCTTAAATTTTCTGTGCTTTGTTTTAAATAATACTTAACATGACTAGTTTATTATTTATTATATATCTTAAGCACAGAAATTATTCATTTAAATGATAAAAAATATTAATTTAATTTGATACTTAATAAATTTGATACTATAATTTTAATTGTAATAATAATTAAATATTTTTCATTTTTACTTACCAAGTCCACGAGCTGCTACATCAGTTGCCACGAGAATTGGAGCTTTACCAGATCGAAAATCTACACAATAAAAGTTATAAAGTAAATAAATAATATATATGTATATTTATTTATTCAAATATTAAAAAACTAAGTTAAAAAAACCTGTATTACCTTGTAAAACCCAATCACGTTCTTGTTGGGTCTTATCTCCGTGAATACACACAGCTGGCCAACCGTCACGCTTCATTTTTCTTGTTATTTCATCTACTCTACGTTTCGTTTCAATAAATACAATTGTTTTATTTTCTTTTTCAGCCATTATTTCCTTTAAAAGTGTACTTAATCTGAAATAACAGTTTCATTTTTCAATTTCAATAGTTTTAGCATTGATTTTTATTTATCGTTCATAGTCACGCATAAAAACGTAATGTGAAACATCACTTTTATTTTGCAATAACCTAATAACTGTTTAACCAATACATACTTTGTTTCTTTTTCGTAGTCCTGGCAAACATCAATTATTTGCAAAATATTGTGATTTGCCGACAATTGAAGGGATCCAACATTAATTTGTGTATAATCTTTCAGAAAATCTTCAGCAAGATTTTTAACTTCTTTTGGCCACGTTGCAGACCACATAAGAGTCTGTCTATCAGGTCTAATTTGTTCAATAATTTTTCTTATTTGAGGTTCGAAACCCATATCTAACATACGATCAGCTTCATCTAAAACTAGATATGTACATCTCTTCAAATTAGTCCTTCCTGACTCGAGAAAATCAAGAAGTCTTCCTGGCGTAGCTATCACAATCTCAACTCCAATATCAAGGTCTCTAGCTTGAGCACCTTTTGGAGCACCACCATATAAACACGTATTTCTAATTCCAGAAGTATGACCAAATTCATCTGCAACTTGTTGAATTTGTTGAGCAAGTTCGCGGGTAGGTGCTAGAACCAATGCTATCGGGCCATCTTTTCTACAAAGCTTTGGTTGACTATTAATATGAACAATAGCTGGTAATATGTATGACAAAGTTTTTCCAGAACCAGTTGATGCAATTCCAACCATATCACGACCGCTGAGTGCAATCGGCCATCCTTGAGCTTGGATTGATGTCGGGTCTTTAAATCCCTGTCGTCTATAAAAATTATTTACATTAAATTTACATTTTGAATAAACAAAGAAGCCAACAATAAGGCTTTAATCTCTTTAGGATTCATTTATTAAATACTCAACTTACTTAATTTCTTTCATAACATAATCAGGAAATCCAGCCTCTTCGAAACTAAAGACAGGATTAGGTATATTTTTCCCCCTCAATGTAATTTCTTTTTCACTTCTATATTGTTCAATGATCCGAGGATCACGATTTAAAACAGCATTACTAGGTATGTAGAAATCTTTTTTGAAGGGCTCTAAGCGTCCTAAATCCCATCGTGGTTTCCGGAGATTAGCACCAGGTTGATTTCTACCACCTCGATTATTTCCACCACGATCTCGACCATTACTTCCACCCCAACCACGTCTATCTCGTGGAGATCGACTCCTCGAACGGCTGCGGGATCTCCGACGTCGATCCCGGTCTCTATCTCTACTGCGACTAAAAAAAAATTGTTACAATCAGTACGGTAATTAGAACTCAATAATTAAAATTAAAACATCTGTTTTCGTTTTAAGTTTCTTTTTGTTTATCATCTTTAAAATTATTTTATATATATATATGTATAAATATTTAAAAGGTTATTTTATTTTTGAAAAATATTTTCAATTTATGAAATATTACTTTAACTTCAATTAAATTCAACTTTTGTTAATTATACGTCTAATTTTAATTAATGTTACAAAAATTTCATATCATTCAATACAATGAGAGTTGGGACGCGTCGCGGGGTGTAGATATAGAATTAAAAGCATTCGGACGCGATAAATTTCAAATAGTGTATCTTCTTTTCGTTACTCACCTCCTGTATCGACCCATTTCTTGTAAATGCAATTGCACCCTTTTCAATCGTTTTAATATGTTTTTATTAACATAAATTATCGTTTAGTTGATTGAACATGTAAAATATTAAAAAAAACTTTTACTGTTATGAGAATTACAAAAGCACTGAGCAATCGAGCGACCGCTCAAGCTGAAAGCCTGACACAACCAGAGAGAAACTTCTCTGAACAGAACAAGATGGAAGTCAATTTTGTCCACTAGAGTTCGCGCTGAGTACGGAGTGGGGAAAATCTTTTGACCAATAGTAGTGTACATTCTATCCATAGCGCGCTAATTAAACTGAAATTTATATAAATAATAAAATAATAATTGCTTAATTATTGCTATATACTGCACGCATTTATTATCAACTTTGTTATATGTGTATTTAAAGTCTTATTAAAGTGTATGTACATCGATTATATAAAATGAACGAGTAATTTTAGCGCTGGAAAATAAAATGAAAACAATGTATATGATGTACAGAGTAATGGATTAGTTTCTAGGAGTTGAACTGCTATTTCCTGGTGCAACCGACATTTCACCACCTTGAGAGCTGTCACGATGAGGACACTAAAAGTATAAACAATTTTATAAATTAATTTAACTTTAATAATATAATAGTTTAGAAATAGACAATTATTGCATTGTAACGAAATTCACAAAATACAAGTTAAAAGTTATTTGATAATTAACGCAATTAAGATAATTACCTTGACATGGATCTGATGCTTTAAAATAGCAGCTCTCAGAATAAGCATTCTTGTTCGTCTTTGATACTCTTTTCCCACACTTATAGACTTTTCGAAAGTTGTACTTCGTTGATCAACATCTTTGGCATACAAAATCTTTAATAAAAATAATCAATATTTAGTATATAAATAAATGTTTATAACCGAAAAATTTTCAATGAATTAATAATATTAAGAAAATTAAATAAAGTTAAGATATATTCACCTTATTGTGTGAGTCAATACGTGCTTGAATTTGCCCGTCTAAAATAAGTTGCATAAGCTCATTCTCCAAATCTGGAACACTTCTGTTAAATGCAACAGCCATTCTCTTCATGTCAGCACTTAAGTAAGGACTGAAGTATTGAATTAATGCTCGATTACGAATTTGCGTATATAATAATTGTACGTGGGGCGCTAAATACATATCTAATAAAATGTTATCAAGAATATCATCGAGTAATTTCAAACATGAAGCATATTTTGATTCATAAAACTTGAAAATAATATCACGAACTTGAGGTTCAAGCTCTAAGAAAAGTTTGAATGAGCTACTAAGTATAACTTGTTTTTGTAATTCATGTCTATCGAAGGTTGCTAAAGCACAAAGACCACCATAAAGAGCAACATTTCCTGGTGATAATAATTCCGGACAGTCACAATGATCGAGTGAAGCTTGTAGGAAATGTTTCGCTGCCATTTTATATTTTCTCATAGCTAAAGCTGCAAGACCAGCTGCTACTTTTAATTTTGTGACGATAGATTGATTATTATCTTTACCATGAACATCAGGAAAATCAGGCGCATTTTCAGCTTTTGCAACGTAAGTTAAAACATGTGTCCAATTTTGTAAATAAACAGATACTTTAATAACATTTAGACACATGTTAACTAGGTGTTTGCCACTCGTGCAATAATCTCGCGCTCTTGAGTAACATTTCAAGGCATTACCAAGATCACCACAATCTAAGTAATGATCTCCTAAATCATCATGTCCTCTTCTTATACTTTCTTTAATAGAATTGCTACGATAATTCTTCAAATCGGTATCGAATTTCTCTAGCTTTAAAGCTGCTTTTTTAGATCTTGTTTCTACCCACATTTGATTAATCGTTGGTATGTCTTGTGATGATGATTGAGCAGCTACGTCGGGCAATCCTTGTGTTCCAAGAGCTTGCAATAATTTTTTGTGTAAGGTTTGATATAATGTTACATTATAGGTAGTCATTACATGAGCAATAGCCATTTTTAGAGCTTCAATTTGTAAACTTGGACAATGATCAGCAATATAAATTAGTCTATATAATTTAGCAAGCCCCGCATAGCTGTTTGCATAAGCTTCAAGATCCTGGATGAGTTTTCATGAAACATTGATATTAAAAAATTATTTTAGATGAGAGGAATTATTGTTTTAAATAAATTAATTTATGTCACTCACCAAAGTAGGATTTTCGACGATGTATGGCTCTTCTTCTGAATTATCATTGTCTTCTGGGGGAGCATCAACCTGCATAGGTTCCACTGCATTCTGTTGAACCAATGAAAATAAACCCAACATGTTTATTTCTTATAGTAAATAAATTCCTTTTAATAAAAAATATTCTTCTGAATTATGTTGCTAATCCGTACGAATTACAGAAGAGCAATAGAATTAAGCAACCTGTCAAAACTAACCTTAAATATTAGTACACAATTTGTCTAAATAAGACGAAGCAAGTTTTAAAAAAATTTTCCTTACCTCAGACAGCATGATTTTAACGTAGAAAAATAAGGCAATTAAAAGTAATTAACTGTTTACTAAACTATGCAAACGTTGTACGTTTTTTTCATTTAACAAAAAAAAGCTTGCACCGCTACAACTACGACAAACGACTCTCGGCAACATTCACATTAGGCTGCGGAACAGTTGTGAAGTGTCATAGTGTCAGCAATGCAGAGATGTGACAATACCGAGATTACAATTATTTTAACTGACTAATTCAATCAAATATTCAAAAAAATTATAATAGTGGTTTTAAATAAATCAATAAAAGTATATTTTTATACATTCATAAATTGAAATTTTTGTTAACGAGGAATTGGGAAGTGCTGAAGGTTAAAAAATTTTTTATGGCTATTGATTACATTTTATTTAATTAACAGTCCATTGAAATAATACCGTTTTACTTGAATTTTTATTCATTTTACTAAGCTGTAATCGAAATTTATAAATAAATACCCAATAATATATTTATTAAATTAAAATTTTTAAAAAATATTTTGAAATTAGTTTACTAGGGATTTTTTCCAGTTTTTATCTCTAAATTTTGAATTTAATCTATTTAGAGTAGTCTTTTTTCATTTAGTGTTATTCTTTTTATAGTTTAAAAAGTCATTTTTATATTTTAATCCGTTGCTAAAGTTATTTACTCCGTAGAAAATATATAATTTATTCATAAAGTAACATACTAACCCTTTAAAACAAAACGCTACTTTCAATATGTAGGTAACAAAGTTTGAATGTGATCAAGAAGTTGCTGACGATACTAAAAACTGAAAAATAAAAAGAGTAGCTCATAAAACCACGTGAGCTATTGAAATTTAATTTATATTTTAACAAAATGGGAGAAAGTACAAACATTCTCAATGATTCCTATCAAGTTGGAAACCGAATTGATTGTGATGGACACCGTGGAACAATTCGTTATATTGGCCCAGTTATTGATACCAATGGTATGTGGTTAGGAATTGATTGGGATGAGTCGGATCGAGGAAAACACAATGGTACTTATCACGGCATTGAATATTTCAAAACACGGTAATTATTAAAATTTATTAGGTTTTTCATTTCTTATCATATTTTTAATAATTTATTTCATTTTCTTTTATTTTTATTTTCCATAGATATCCTACATCAGGATCATTTGTTCGTCCAGGAAAAGTTAAAACTGGAGTCTCTTGTCCAGAATCTATTAAGAATCGTTATGGCTTAATTGACGACGAATTAGCTGGAGTAGAACCAGAAAATGTCACCAGTTTAAAGAAAGAAATCAATGCTCCTTTCTTAGAGATGGTTGGGTTTTCTAAAGTTAATAAAAAACAAAGTACATTTAATAAACTTAAAATAGTTTGGTTACGTGATCAGTTAGTAAGTTGTGCCGGTGCTCCTGGAGAGTTAGAAGAGCTCTGTCCGAATGTAGAACAACTCGATATTTCGAGGAATTTAATAAACTCATGGCGAACGGTTGGTGATATTTGTTGGCAGCTAAAACATCTCGAACATCTTGATGTAAGGTAAATTGGCAAAGCAATCTGGAGTGGTATTGGTAAGAAGCAGATAAGCTGATACTATGATAATTAATTTTTTTTTTACAGTGAGAATATATTGCCTACTCCGGAAGACGGTAAAAATTTGAAAAACGCTTTCACAAAAGTTAATCAATTAACAATGGCGCGAATGAATTATACTTGGGACGATGTAGAATGGTGTACATCATTGTTCCCATCACTTAAAATCCTTCATGTGCCATTTAACAATATTTGCATCTTGAAAGAACCAGAAACAGATGCAAGCCTTAAACAACTTGTTGTTTTATCATTAGAAGGAAATGGTATTAATGATTGGACAGAAATTTTAAAATTAGGAAAACTTGAAAGGTAAGCATAAAATGTGTCATTAAATTAATATAATAAAATAAACAAAAATAAAAAATGATGTGGGATAACCAGAAACGCGATTGTTCAGCTTGGAAAATCTCAATTTGAACTCAAATAATATTGACGTAATAAGACTGCCGAGAGATGATGAAAATGGAAAGACGTCAATGTTTCCAGCACTTCGACAATTACATTTATCAAAAAATTTAATTAATGAGGTGAGTTAACAAAATTCATTTTCTATCAATATCTTACAATATCAATAAACTTGACAAGAGCAATAATTATTAAAAAATCATTTTTACTTTATAGTGGATTTCAATAAGTGAGTTAGAAAAATTAAAAAATCTCGAAGACTTAAAATTTCGTGATAATCCATTGTTAAATGATGTAGAAAAAGGAACTGCTAGGCAATTAATTATTGCTCGAATCTCAAACTTAAAGTTATTAAACAGCACAGAAATTACAAGAGATGAAAGAAATGGAGCAGAGTATGATTATTTAAAATTATGCTTTAAAGAATGGCAACAAATAAATTCAGAGTCTTCAGAAAATTGTAAAAAAATATTTTTAGAAAATCATCCTCGATATCTTACTTTAATTCAATGTATGTAGTAAACAATCCAAATTTAAGTTAATTATTTCATACTTAATAAAAGATTTGCTTTAATAATTATTTTTTCAGTGTGCGGAGAACCTGAGATTACGAATTCAAAGACAGATTTAGATATGAAATCTGATTTGATTACTGTTGAATTTATTTGTATGAATGAATCTTCACAATGTTCCAGTGTAAAAAAAAAACTTCTTAAAGAAATGGATGTACAAAAACTCACCGGTTTAGTTCAGCGAATATTTAAAACTAGAGGGAAAATTCCAAAGTTATCATTTGTTGGATTAAATGTAAATTATTACTTATATTATTTTAAAAAGTTATCTATGTTTATATATATACATTTTTTTTTTATATGAACACTAAAAAAATTTTTTATAGAGATTGACAGAAGAAATTCCTCTGGACAAGCCTTTGCAACAATTAAGCTATTACTCCATTCAGAATGGAGATCACATATTGGTTCGTTGGTGACGTTGAAAAATAGCGTAAGCTCTTTACAATTAAATATTATAAATGTAATTCCATCATTATTTTGTAATTAAAAAACTGATTTTTCATAAACCAAAACTTATTTTTCCCTTTTTGACTGTCAGTTTTGTGCTGCTTTTTCTTGAATTTTGCTAGACTCTTCTTTTTCAAGCTGTTCTTTTGTTAGTAACGAAAGCCCTAATTGATCTTCTCGTGAAAAAGGTTGTGCCATTTGTCTCAACCATCTTTTTGCAATCTACAAAATTAAAAATCAAATTTATCTAACAACCATATATAATTATAGTTTTATACATAATCAAATAAATGTTTACCTGTATTGCTTCCTCAGTAGATAAATTACATAAACCGTCAGAAAGATGCTCTTGAATCCATTTGGGTAATTTTGTTTTTTTATCAGCTCGAGAAAATCTCTGGAAATACATTTAAATGATTAATGATCTCGTAAACTATTTATTTTTTATCTAGTGATTGATTTTTACCTTATCAGCGAAAACCATAATACCATAGTCAGTTTTTCCTCTTATAGCTCGTCCTACACATTGAGCTGCATGTCTCATTGCATCAAACGTTAAGAAATCATTTTCTTTTATCTAATTATAAAAAATAATACAAAGTTTTTTAGTAATTTTTATCAATTAATCATGTAATTAAAATAAATGTTGAGCTTCTTACTTGAAATTGATCTCGAAGATATTCTAATCTAGCCTTTAATATTCTCGATTGAGTATAAACATAAGGAATTCCAAACATAAGCACAGCTCTTCCTAAATGATTGTCAAAATCGACTCCTTCGGAAACTTTTCCTCGTGCTACTGATAATAATACTGCACCTCTTCCACTGTCACATGCTTTGATATAGTTGATAAGAGCCAAGCTCGTTTCTGCTGAATCTTGGGTTTCGATAAATAAAAGTTTATGTCTTTGAAGTTGATCAACAACTCCTTGGTCGTACCTACAGAGCATATTCAAATGTTAGACAAAAAAAAATATGAGATAAAACAAAGAATAAAAAAATTTGGCTTCTTACCAAGCAGCAATAACTGATTCCATATAAAGATAAGATGTGAAAAAGCAAACGATCCCATCTGGTACAATTGCTGAAAATTCTACCAAAAGCTGGCCATAATTTCTTATTACAGCTATATCATCTCTTGTTTCAAATTTGGAAGAAATAGACACTTGATCATTTCCCTTAGCTACAATCTATCAAATAAATGTTACAATCATTTATTTACTATAGAATTGAAATAGAAATACAGATTGATATTCACCATAGGTAACAAACACTGCCTTGCCAACGTCATGGTGAATGATGACATAATTACTGGATGAAAATTTAAAATCTTTGGATACATATCTAGTGGTGATAAAGTACCCGAAGTGATGATTACAGATTGAAATCGATCGAATATCGGTTTCATGGCAATTGAAGAGTCCATACAACTAAAGTGAAAAACAGGATTCAATACCGTTGGAGTTTTGTCATCAAAAGGCTCGACAATTATCGTAAATCCTTTTGTATAAGTTGATACCAAAGTCGCCAGGTGTGTTACCAGAATTAATGGAGAAAAATCTGTTAGATCTGTTATCTCCATGGTTCTTAATAGTGAAGCCAATCTTTCGGCACAAAATCTAAGAGGCTTTCTCTCTATACAAACTTTATTTTGTACATCTCGAAGAAATATTGTCGGTGACTCTTGAACAACATGTTGGACTCGTAATCTTGTTTTCAAATATTCAACAAAACGTTTCAAAAAGCTTACAAAATGCTCTGCATTTCGTATATTCCCTGGTATTACCTCTGAAATATTTTTATGATTGATGTATTTAAATAAATTTTTCCTTATTCTATATAATTACCATGTAATATTTCATCAGGTAAAACTGGATTGGCTAAAATAACATCTGTCTCTCTAGCTACCTGCGCATCTTTCAAGCCGTCAACCAGTCTTTGATATTCCTCTTTTAATTTATTAGCATCTTCGTCTCGCATTCTAAAAAAAATAATTAAATCAAGATAATAAATATGAATGATTAATAAACGATGATAACAATCAATAAAGCTTACTCAGCAACAGTCTTCTCTAAAAGTTGAATATTTGCCGTACATTTATCCATGATTCTTCTATTTATTTTTACACTCATTGAATCAATACAAACATTATCTAAAAAAAAAAAAAAATGAACATTAAAATTTTGAAAATATAATAATTTATGAGTGAAAGCAAAAATGTATACCAATATTGTGAGCTTCGTCAAAAACTACAACTGAATTTTTAGCAAGTTCTTTAGAAACTGTTTCAGCGATCTTGGGATCCAATAAATAGTGATAGCTGTATACAATTATTTGAGCATGTATAATCTGTAAATTATTAAGAAAATAATTTCCAGTAATTCAGAATGAAACTAAAAAATAATAGTTGCATATAAAATATTTACAGTGAACCTCGCAAGAAAGTATGGACACCAATTTCGGTCTCTACCATACTCTTTAAGATCGTCAATAGAGTAAATTCCAGGTGGCATAAGTCGTTCTCTACCTTCCATATCGAAACCTTCGTAAAAATTGCATATTGGAGTACTTTCATCGTAATTATGTCGTGCTCTGACATATGATGCTGTTAAAGAATGACAACGGCCATCAACAATTTTCCCTTCTCGTTCTCTGCTTACCTACATATTAAATATAGTATATATAACAAATTTATAAATAATAAATCAAATCATTATTTGTAAGTTAAATGTACCTCTGGATGAATGCACATATTTTTTCTAGAACTTAAAACTAATCCAACGAATTTTGGCTTTACATTTGTTTCTTTCTCATAGTAATCCATAAGCTTTTTTAACTCTTCTACAACTTTTTCAATTTCTGGTACAGTTCGAGAGCAATAAATTAATTTGGTGACTGCTAAAGGATTTTCTATCATGTAAGCAACAATTAATGCTAATAGAGTAACAGTTTTTCCAGTTCCAGAAGGCATTTCAAGTAAGCAATGGCCCTGTTCAAGTAAGTAGAAACAAATCATTATTTTAATGTTTTTTTTAAGATTTACTTTAACTTAATTTTCTAATTACCTTGGCATCCAGGCCTTTTTTAAGCTCCAACATATAAGCATATTGTTCAGGATAAATATAATCATAAGGGAAATAAACTATTAACCCATCCACACTTATCCTAATAAAAAATAATTACGTAAAAATTAATATAATAATAAATGAAATTGGTTAATTTATATCTGATTAATTGATACGTACTTCATAATGTCAAATGATTTTAATAACAATAATTATAAATAATTATTCCTAAAAAATATACATAAATTACAAGTATTTATATTGTTTTGATTGTTTTAAGGTTATACCGGTATTCATTATTTGTTAAAAAAATGAATGAAAAATGATTCAATAAATATAATATAAAATTTCAATCATTATTAATACATAAAATAATTTTGATATGATTTAATGATAAATATCAATTGAATTAGTAATTACTTTATTCTATTGATGAAAACGTTTACAGTGCAAATATTTGGCGTAAAGGAAACGGAACAACTTACAGTGTACATACACATGTATACATATGCATATAAGAGGGGTATATGTATATGTGTGTATATATACAATGTACAGTACCGGACATAAATGCTGTGTGATTTTCTATAGGACGGTATAGGGAAATCGCCTGTATCACCCTTAAAAAATTGAACAGCATTCATGTCTGGTACTGTATGCACTATACTATACACATGATGCGGTTGAACCAAACTATAGATGTGACGAAACTTTAGAGTGCATATGCAAAGCAAGCCAGCGTTGCAAAAACTTATTTGTGCATCTATTATTTCTTTTGCATATTTATATAGAATTGTAACAGTATAATTACTTGAATAAATAAATTTTTGATACACATCAGTGTAAATAATTGATTCTTTTACAATTAATAAATAGCGTGTATATGCGCCTTAAGAATGTATTAGAATTTTTGTATCGGTGCTACCGGTGAACAATTCGCGAACTAGCTTTTTTACTGATATGTAAGTATTTTTAAAGATATTATTTAATGTTCATTTCTCTATAAACCTTCAATAAATATATATATCCTACTAAATTTATAAAATTTAACTCTAAAGTTCAATAAAATAAAAACTTTTGCCAATTGTTTTTTTTAGGTTATGGTAGAAAATAAATGTTGATTAAACAATTGCGATTTAAATTACGCGGTGTCAATAATATTAACGCCATCTAAAACATAACAAACATCTTGACGGTTTTATTTTTTCTATGGAAAATCGTTATAAACAAAGCGTATTTTAACTGAATACTAAAAAATTTCAGTGTTTGTAATTTTTTATGTGCCAATGCTACTATTAACCTAAAAAATATTTTAAAAAAAGTTTGTTAGAATATCTAGAATTTGTGTGATAGATAAGAGTTTAGTTCTACAGATTTTGACATTCAGAGAAGGATTCTTTGCGTGTGTATGCATTAATACTAGTAATTAATGAATAGTAACATCAATTACGTATGTTAAGATTCTTATTTCATTGTTTTTCAACAAACACTTTAGATGGTCAATCCTAAAGATATTTTTCAACGAAAGACTCGTTTCAAGGTCAAAACGAGTCATTTCAAAGTGGAAACAAAGCATTCGCCGCCACGGCTTTCACGGAGATGGTTGGACTTGCGGGCGGGGGAGGTCACTTATATCCCTCGCCCCCGATGCAGCCAAATTCTGAGTGTAAATACGGATTATTTAAATTTTTTGTTAAATTATAAAATCACATTATTTCTCTAATTTGAAAATTGAATCAAAGCCAAAAAAATGTATATACTTAATTGAGTGTTAAACCCGGGATCTTTTGCTAAGTACGCGAATGCTCATTCTACTGAGTTCTCGGGCATATCTTTTTCTCATTCTTTCAGCCTCGTAAAACTATTATATATACATCTTGAAAAAAGTCAAAAATATTAAAACTTTAATTAATGGTTTCTTTTTAGTGAGAGAAATGACTGGAATCACTCCATCAGCACCAACAAGTGCTGATGCATGCCTTAGCATAGTTCATTCCCTCATGTGTCATCGTCAGGGTGGCGAGAGTGAAGGCTTCAGTAAGCGTGCCATTGAATCTCTTGTAAAGAAGCTCAAGGTATTTATTTATTATTTAAAATGAATTAGTTTTTACTTTTTTATATATATTTTTTTTTGGTAATTTGATAATTATTTATGTTTTCATTTAAATTAGGAAAAACGAGATGAACTTGATAGTTTAATAACTGCCATCACCACAAATGGTGCACACCCAAGTAAATGTGTCACTATCCAAAGGACACTTGATGGGCGACTTCAAGTAGCAGGAAGAAAGGGTTTCCCTCATGTAATATATGCGAGAATATGGCGATGGCCAGATTTACATAAGAATGAATTAAAACATATAAAATATTGTCAGTTCGCATTTGATTTAAAATGTGATTCTGTTTGTGTTAATCCTTACCATTATGAGAGAGTTGTGTCACCAGGAATAGGTAATTCACGTACCAATCAAATATATGCTTCTTGCGATTTTTTTTTCTTATTATTTATTTATATTTTTATTTATTAAAATTTTGCTGCTTTGGTGTATGAATGGGTTCGTTTCCCGGCACAGACCCGTTCTTTACAGACTTATCTGGCCTAACACTTCAATCTGGCGTTGGAGTAGGTCCTGGTGGACGACTAGTTAAAGATGAATATTCCGTTGGTGGTGGTGGTGGCACTAGTACGGCAAGTGCTTCCGGTGTTGGAACTGGAATGGATGTTGACAATGAATTGAATCAGACAATTCAACATCATCCACCGCCTGCTCAGCCAACAACATCGAATCCAACCCCTAATCCGCAGTTCATTAATCTCGCACCTTCGAATCCAGGTAACATTTTTGATGAATATTTCTAAGGACTATTTTTTTACATTATTATGATTTGTTTTTTAAAGGATTCAATTAAAAATTTTTTTCTTTGAAATTAGTATTATTTTATTTGCTTTTTTTATTTTCATTATGTTTATTTGGTTTGTTTTTTTTGTTTTTTCCCGTATTATTGAATGCAGCTGGTGGTGAAGGTATATATGGAGGGGGTGGTGCGGGTAATCCGAATAACCCTCATGCTAAATTGGAAGAAAATAATTGTCCAAGGCAAACATGGATTCCTACGCCTCATCACATTTCCACGCGAAATATGCACCATCGTACGTATTTTCTTTTGCAAACAGTCCTATAAAATAATTATTTTTTTTTCATTTTGGTTTTAAATTTTTTAAGAATTTCTGAAAACAATTGATTTTTTGTTTAATAATACATTTTAATTATAGCTAATTATTATCTATAAATTTTAGCTGTAGTTCATCAGTTGGGACATCCAGTTACCACGCAACAACAATCACTAAATACAGCAGGAGGGAATGGAGGCCAAATATTAAGCCCAACGCAAGGGCAATCTTCAGATCAATTTTATAGCACTAATACACCTCAAGATTTGAATCAAGCTCCGCCAGCTGTTGATGCATTAACTGCGTCTTTGGGTATTTATTTATTTTACGCCTATTACAGTCTTATTAATTTCACTTTCAATTTGTATGATGTTATTAAATCACGTATTGGTATGCATCGCCTCGAAGTAAAGTTGACTTGGTATTTAAATAATATTTATAATTAAAATTAATCAAAAATGAATATTTTCTCAGGTGGAACATCTAGTTCTCCAGTATCTCCAGCTCATCTTCATCACCAAAATGGATTTGCTGTAGCTGCTGTATCAAATCCTTATAATACCGGGGCTCCACAATGGACTGGTGCTAATACTTTAACTTATACACAAAGTATGCAGCCACCTGATCATCGACATATGCACCCTACATCATATTGTAAGTAAAACAATTTCAAATAATTAGAATTAAATTTACTCTGATAAATTTATTTGGTATCAATATTTTAAGGGGGACATGGTAATGAAGTTAGTGGAGGAAATATTGGAGGTTTATTATCCACTCAACCTGCTCCCGAGTACTGGTGCTCTGTAGGATACTTTGAACTCGATACTCAAGTTGGAGAGACTTTCAAAGTTAGCAGTACTTGTCCAACAGTTACAATCGATGGTTACGTTGATCCTAGTGGTGGTAATAGATTCTGTCTTGGTGCTTTGAGTAATGTTCATAGAACTGATCAGAGTGAAAGAGCCAGGCTTCATATAGGTATATAAATTTTATTGCATATTTTAAAACCAATCAATTGCAATGAAACTAATAAATACTTAAAAATTGCAGGTAAAGGTGTAGTTCTAGACTTGAGAGGTGAAGGAGATGTGTGGTTACGATGTCAGAGTGAACACAGTGTGTTTGTTCAATCTTATTATCTTGATAGAGAAGCTGGACGTGCTCCCGGTGATGCCGTTCATAAAATATATCCTTCAGCGTATATTAAAGTGTTCGATTTAAGACAATGTCACAAACAAATGAGAGGACAAGCGGCCACTGCTCAAGCTGCTGCTGCAGCACAAGCCGCTGCTGTTGCTGGTCATCTTACTCATGGTCAACCAATTACAAAAAGTACAGAGAAATATTATACGATTGTGATTAAATTGTCAATTAATTAATATATACGTTATGATACTAACATTAAAAATTATTTAGGTCTCAGTGCAGCTGCAGGTATAGGAGTTGATGATTTGAGAAGACTTTGCATTCTGCGATTGAGTTTTGTCAAAGGTTGGGGTCCAGATTATCCTCGTCAAAGTATCAAAGAAACGCCTTGTTGGATTGAAGTAAGTATATTTCGTCGATTTATTTCATTAATTCACTTGACTTTATTACTATATTAATATATTTGTTAATTCATTATAGGTACATCTTCATCGTGCTTTGCAATTGTTGGATGAGGTTCTACATACTATGCCAATTGATGGACCACGAGGTATTGAGTGAATAATTTATGCGATATTAATGAATAATTTTCAAAAATTATTTTGACGTTTAATTTCGTAAAATGATGGCATATTTATATGATTAACATAAGATCATGTCATTAGACATGTTTTACAAGTGATACTTTGAATTGTTTGTATAACTAGTACAGTTTTCTTCAGAAGAAAACTGTAATGATTATGAGATAATTCAAAAATTAGGTAGATAAACGTTTGATGAAGTTAACACTCATTAATAATGATTAATATATATTTAGTGATTAGAATAATATTAATAATAAGAACTGAATAATAAATAATACGGCGCCATGGCCTTGCTCTTAGACAACGTACAAAAAAATTATCAGGTAAACGAGGTAAATTGGAGAAAGCGTAAAAATACTAATTATTAATGAAAGAGAGAAATGTTATTTTTCTCCATGATAAAAAATTATTTTTAATGAAAAATTAATGGATAATGCTAAGTGTATATTTTTTAGGCGGTCAAATGCAATCTTGAGGTATCAATTAAATTTTAAAGGAAAAAGAAAATAGAAAAAGTCAGAGTAGGCCTGGGGCAAATTTTTTGCAATTATATTTTTTGCCCTCAAATAATTATTGTTTTTGATTGTTTAATTTTAAAACAACATAACATAATTTGTTTTGTTGACAAAGAAATGCGAATTTATAAGTAAACAATACATGTTTTACAAGTTGTGTACGATTATCACAATATAAAAACGTTTGAATATTTTCGTATTAGCAGTTATTTATTAATGATAAATTATCAAGTCTACATTAAAACTAAGCTCAATTTTTATAATTTATATCTTTTAAGTTAAATTTTAAACGAATTCTAAAAAAATTTAGAAAAAAAAAAAATGTAAATACTCTAAGATCTAGAATAGTAGATCTTGAAGTAATTACGATGAAAAAAAAGTTCGAGTTGAACTTTATGCAATGAAGCAAAATGTTTTTTTTTTTAAGATATCGTTGATTTTTTTTTTATTATTTTTGACATTATTTTTAAATATAATTCAAAAATGTATGTATTTTACTAATCCATTATCGTTGTCATTGATAAAATGAAGTCAGAAGAATCTCATTGGAAGACATTAATGACTTCATTTTTTACTCAATTAGTTTTTTTTTCATCATTTATTGAAAATGTTATACAATAATATTTAATGTTTATGACCCAATGTCTCATAGTAATTATAGATACAAAAAAAATATATATATTATATTTGATAAGTATTATAATTATATCCAATAATTAATTAATTATTGAAAACAATAGGAGAGAGCGAGAATGGGTTGACCAAAATTAAATATCCAATTATGAAATATGAATTAACTATAGCCTTTAGAATTTAGCTCAGATTTGTTTGTGTTTTAAGTAGATTCGAGTTAAATAATGAATGTAAGAGTGATAAACAATTTTATAGTTTTTTTTCTTTATTTTATTTAATCTTTATTATTGATAAATGAAATATTATTACAGATTGACTAATTGATTTTTATTAATTACACACATGAATATGTGCAGTGTTTTAACTGAGTGAAGATTATTAGATATTTTATCATTTTTATTATTAATTTTATTATTATTCTTTTAAGCATATGTAAGAAATGCTTTGTTAATTTTTTTTTTCTTTTATACCAAGAGGCTTTTTTGCAAATTTATTAATGGCGTAAATGTAAAAGTTATTGAGAAAAAAGATTTTTATGATGTTAAAGTGATGTTTTAACATAAAAATTTTTTTTCTTTATTATTGTATTCCTTGGCGGATCGGTACAAATAATTCATACATATTAAAGACTTCAATACAGCCGCCAAGTTGATTAACAGTTAATAATAATATTAATGATTAATGTTAGATTTTACATTTAAATAGACGAAAACAATGAGAGATTACGAATGTGCCATTTATTTCATAAAGTGTACACAATCGATGATACAAATATTAAGATAAAAAAAACTACAATTATACCAACAGAAAAAATAATAACTACTATTTAAATATTTAGTAAAATTAAAAAAATAAATAAAAATAATAGTCTTTTTTACGAAACTTATATTTTTATCGTACGATAAAGTGCAGTTTTATACATAGTAACATACAAGTCATTCATATTTAGTCCTTGAAAATAATAAATAAAAAACAATTATTAAATAATTAATAGACGATTAATTTTAATAAAGGATTGTTCAAATTTTAAAAATCACGATTGTAAAATTGCACCAATACATTTATAACTTTTGAACATGATATATTATTAAAATAAATGGCGACTTCATTTCAATTGTTGGCATATAAAAACTAAAATATGCAATCTTGATGGTTTGTTGTTGATCAAAACTATGGAATGAAGTTTAAATTTACACGTTAAATGCACGCACACACTGATATTTATTTATAATAGTGTACAATAATTACTAGAAAGCAATGAATCTGTTTATAGAAAAAACAATACATAAGTGGTTTAGCTGAAATTTGTTTCGGTATTTGGCATGCATGCATATGATAATCAACTTTCAGTGCGATAGCATCGAAAATCATTTAATTAACAAATATTATTTTGTCTTATACTATGAAACTGCCTTAAAAATATGTTAAGACAGAAAAATTTTCCATTTTTTGTCCGCTAATATTAAATTGAAAAATCCAACAGCCGTTTTTTCTTTTCTTGAGACTTTGAGACTTGATTTTAATAAACTTATATTTAAATTATTTCAAAAAATCATTAATCGATATTCAATTGACCAATTTTCAACTGAAAATGAATTTATTCATTAAGAGTGTGTGTGTGTGTGTTGGAGAGGAATAAATGATCGCGCCAATGCCAAAGATATTTCGTAAAACAATGAAAAAAGCCTCTGAATACCAATAATTGTAATACAGTGGATAAACAACAATCATTAAAACTAATAAACAGAATAATTTATATAATGAGTGAAAATATTTAAAATATACTTTTTTTATCATAATGGTTATTATTACTATTATTATATTACATTGGATACATTACCATTTTGAAATAAAACAAATTTAAAAATTTTATCATGTTTTATTATTCAATTAGTCATTTTATGTTTAACCGTAACTCCTGGCCTATCAAAAATATCAGTATATTTATTTCCTTTCGAGTCTATAGCTACATTGTAACTGACTTCATTCTCCAAAGCTTCTTCAATTGCTTGATCTACCATTTCTCTTGTGATGAATTTTGCAGCTTCTTGTTTGAGTTTTCTTATGTATTCTTCTGACTCAGCTAATTCTTGTTCTTCTTTAACTTTAGCCTCTGCCAATTTTTCTAAATGGAACTTCTTTTTTTCTATCCATTCTTTCTGTAATCTTTCTTCTCGTTTCAATGCAATTTCTTTATTCCATTCGTCATTCAATTTTTGACAACGTTCAAAATCTTTTTGCTTAAATTGTTTTATTTTTTCTTCATCATATTCTACTTGATTTGCTTTTTCTAACTGTTCGAAATATTGTCTATAAACAAAAAAAGCTGGTTAATAAATATAAATGGTTATTTTTTTTTTAAATCAAAATATTTTTGACTAACTTGATTGACTTTCTGTATGTTCGATAATAATTTTGCAATCGTCGCATTTCCAACAACTCATCTCTTGGTATTTCCGGCCAATTGTCAATTTTGAATAATTTTGATTTAGCTACTGGAAGCCAACGCGGTTTTTTCGCTTTCCATCGTACTATTTGTGATATTGGAGCATTTATTCCAACTACTCCAGACCCTAGACTACTATTTTGGATTTTGATGCTTCCTCGCACAAAGCTTCTTAACATTTTTCTGTAGTTAAAACATATTGTGTATTAATCCATTATAATTGATAAACATTAATTAAATTACCTGGATTTTTAAATATGTATGATTTAATTTATTCAAGCTGATATATCTTAATTTTGGTTATGACATGAAATAAACAAATCACATGCATGTAGAGAGAATAGAAGCACAAAGAGGAAACAGAAAAGACAGACTTTTGGATATTAAAAATAACCTAGTAGCGGTATCCTGTTGTTGGAATACGTACTAAAGATTCAAACTAGCCTAATATTCTTTAATTTTAGTCGTTGTTAAATCAGAAATTACTTATGGAATTGATTGTTGAAATACAGTTTTTTTGTCGATAATATAAATGATGACTAACAATTGAATAAATCGTTTTATTATAATTATCAAAATAATTATGAGATAATTTTTAGTATTTAACTGCAATTTTGTTAGTTGGGTGAACAGTTGCTAATTGTTGAGTACATTTTTTTTCCGCTGACAGTGCTGCCACAGACGCCGTTCGTTTCTTTTCTGGAAACAACGTAGTAACATCACAAGGCCCATATTTTAAGATTTTTTGATTAAAAATTACTCGTTTTATTTGAATTTGAACAAATACTGAGTACATATTACGATAATCTAAATACATTATCAATGAAATATGATTAGAAAATCCGGAATTTCAATTTTACCTGTTCTTGGTAAACTCGGCGTCAATATTACAATGAAGTACCAATATTTTTACTAAGTTTGAGACAGTTCAAAAAATACCAAGACGAAAAAAAAGCCTTGAACAATTTTATAGAAAAATAATTGTTCAGATAAAGACATAGAAGAATTGAATGTCTTATTTTATTACAAGTAGATTAAATATAAAATATTCTTGAGAATTTTTTTATTATTGAAAAGTATGAAAAATATTTCAAACTTGAAAGAATACGTAATTAAAATTTACACGATTTATAATTGTTTTATTTTTTAGAACAATAATATTTAATGGAAAGAATATGCAAATAGATTGAATATACAATCAATGATTCTTTACATTTATTGATGTAAAATAAAAACAGAAGAAAAACATAAGGTACTTTTTCTAATTTTTTTTTCTTTCTTAATCAATTGATAATATTTATTAATTTATAATAATTACATCTGAAACATAATTTTACTTTTATTATTTTGTGTGTATGACTTTGGATTGATGATCAATGTGATGAATTATATTGCAATAAATAGTACTAACTTGAACAAAAAAACATGAAATTATTGATTGATTGAGGCATTTATTATTTTTTATACATATATAATTATTTATATCGGATTTTGAGGTTCTCAGGAAATGAGGATGTTTTCATAAACATCATTAAATAATTTATTATATCCACAGTAAATTTCACAATGTAACCTTACGATAATCTGTTTATCATTATTATTTAAATGGCATTACATCAATCATTCTCAATGTTATGGTAAGATTTATTATTCATAATCATTCATTATAGTAAAATATACACATAATTTATATTTATCATAATTTATTATAATAATAATGTGTTATATCATATTGATACAATATATCGATTGAATTATCAACAATTGCAAGCTAGCTACTGTAATTAGTTCATTACCTGAGAAATCCTTTAATTATTTACTATAAATTATAATAAACAAAAACTATATTATTTATTAAATTATTGATTACAATTATTATTTTATTCGTTTCACACATTTTTAAAATTTTTTTTAGTTATTAATAAAATTTTTATAAATTCAGTTATAGTATAAAAGAAATTGATGATAAAAATTTACAAATTTTTCTGATAACATATTTCCAATAATCTTTAACTATAAGCAGTAATTAATTAAAGGATTTTTAGTAAATATTTTAATTATATTTGTTTGTTTGTTAATGTTATATCCAATGTCTACTCATAGAATAATGGGCGATTGACATGTAAACTGTTGAACCATAAGTTCAGTTGATTGTATCATTGTACACTTTATAGATAATGGTAGTCCAGTATTATTGTTATTACTAATGTTATTATTATTACTTTAGTTATTATTATCATTATCATTATCTTTATGTTTTTAGTTTTATTCATATTATAGTATAGTTATTAATTATTTTAATTTAATAATAGCTTTTAGCTGATAAATTTACTATTAATCCGGACTTTTTCGAAGTGACTTATTGAATCACTATAAAGGGCCAAAAATGATCATCGCAAGTATTATGATTATAATAATTTAATGAGCAGTCTTTATATAGAGTAATTGGATGTACATTTTAAATTAAATTACAGAGTTGAATTACATATATTGTTGAAAAATGATAAAAATTTATATATATATATATAACATCAAATGATTCATTTATAAGAATTTGAAGAGAAATTTTGATTTTATTGCAGTTGAAGTAAATCGAGATTAATTAATTATTATTATTATTTATAATTTTATTTTTTTTTATATTTCATAGTAGAAAAAAAATGATGTGCAACAATGACTTGTAATTTCTTTTCTTCAAGTATATAAGTGTATTTTGTTATTTTAATTATTTATCTATGTCAAATACTTTTTTCATTCGAGGCGACCAACTGTCATATCGAAGTGACTTAGACTTTGTTACTGAATCAAACTTTGTTATCTTACATCTAATAAAGCAGGTACATATCACATAGACAGGTCTTCGAAATGTATTTTTATAGTTTTCGTTTATTCATGTACGGAATGTAAATTTTTTAGAGAAATTTTGATTTGTTTTTGTAAATAATATTAATGGTAAGTGAATGTAGAAAAAAAATTAAACCTGTTCTTTGGACATTTATGAGAAAATATTACTTTTATCCATTGTTTCATCATTTTTTGAGCTTGATTATAGCGATTTTTATTAACTGCTATAAATTTCTTAGTCTCTACACAGTTTTGTATAAATTTTTATAGTTAATTACTAGATTTGTCAGCATTAGAGAATGTAACTTTCGGATTACAAACTGCCCATTGCAAATATAGTCATTAGAAATTTATAATTTTATTGAATGTATACAGAACAGTTTTATGTAAATAATTAATCATTTATTTATTTTTTGTTAAATAGAGTGGCAAGGAATGAATGATCGAACGTGTATTTCGAAACACCCTGTCAGGATAGGCCACCGATCTGTAAGTTTTTAAATTTTATCTATTTTTTATTTCTGTTAAACTACTACTTTATAATGATTAAAAAGGTTTGAGTGAATGACCGAAAGATTTAGCTGTTTTTCACCAGAAATTTCAGCTTATTTATTTCCACTCAACCTGATGATAGTTTGTCCCTCTACTCGGTATGAACGATACTATTGAGAATAAATTTGTGTTTGAGTATCCAAAATAAAATCTACCATTTTGTCGTTCATATATCTGTTATCGTAAATTCTGCTTAAATTTATTCAATTTATGTTTCAAATATAGCTCGAAGTTATACACATACTACAGACTTATTCGATATTTATGTGCAAATTATAGTCATTAAAAGAATTATATCGAACACTGAAAAATAGAAAAATGTCCTTTCTTTGTTTCATTGTACCTTCTAAGGATCAGCATTTAGTTGAAGAAGTTGTAGCTCTTATTATTGATAATAATTTTGTTTTTTTAATTAATTATTATCATAACAAAATTGTAAACAAATAATTCAAAAATATCGTAATACATGCGGAATAATAAATATCAGGTAAAAATGTAAATTTTGAAAATTTTTTGAATATTGAATATTTAGTAGGCACCGCATGTAGGACTATTCTTTTTTTTTTTAATAGTATTTTTCGATTATAGATTACGTTTCGAGTTTCATTACTTTCACATGTTGTTCAAATCCATACGATTGGTCGCTCGAGAAAAAAATAATTATATTTACAGAGTTTATTTTACGCTTTTTTATCATTATAATTACATATAATTTTTATCAGATTATTCATTGATACATTTTTTAATAAAATTAAATTAACTACAAATCAATATGATAAATTACTTTGACGGTCAATAAATAAATAAATTTGATTTAATAAGTAATTTTAAATATTTTTATACTTATTTATTATTATGATTAATCAAAGTGAAGAAGCAGAATTTTTATTAATTTTATAAAAATTACTAATTTATCTCAAACTAATATTGAAAACTATTTTTTTTTATATAATTTTCATTCTATTATAAAGTAAAATAAATTCACTAAGTCTTTAAGATTATGATTTAAAAATGAATCAACATTTTTCTCGATATTAATCAGAAAATAGATGTTTTAAAAAAAATATAAAAATTGAACTTTCTATTTTTCATTATTCTTGTCTCTGCGTTTGAAAATTCACACTTTGAGCTTTACTTTTCTTTTCAAGTATTTTATAACAATTTGTTGTCAAGTAATTGAGTCATAATGCTGAAATGACGTTTTTTACTTCTTTCAAAAATAGCCTAGTGGAAAAGTTCTTGGTCATTGAAAAAGAAATTTTGAATTTAACAACTAAAGGTTGAGAAATATATCGAAAATTGCATTATTTTTTTACTTAAAAAACTGAAAAAATTACGAATTATATCTATTTAATTATTTTAAGTGACAACTCAAACATAAAAAGCTCTTTTAAGTAAATAGTTCAAGCTTTGACATATTTTTTCTTAATGTCGATATGCTTATTCAAACCAGCTGTAACTCTATTATAATTTTTTTTTTCTTTCCAATTTTCCTTTTTCTTTAAGAAAGAAAAAACTCAAAGTCACTTTAATTAAAATCAGTATCAAGAAAGTAGTTACTAAAGGATCGATAAATAATCTTTAAAAAGTCAATAAAAATTTCTACTTTTTCATCTTCAATTATCAACTATGATTATTTTTAAATAAGATCACTACTTTTAATGTTAATTAAACTGGTGATAAGTGATAACGTATGTATGGTTGAAAGCAAAATATTCAGCTTGATTGATACCAAAAAATCATTAAAATGATTATTTGGAATTATCATGGCGTTTAAATACCATTATAATAACATCATTATATCCTAAATGTCTTTACTTATCGATATATATTTATAATTAATAGCTTGATTTCCTTAACATGAATAATCGAACAAGTGAGACGACGAATGTAATGATAAGGGATGATTGAACAATCTACATCAGTAGCTCCAAAAATAATCCATTGAAATAATGAACAAATTAAAATGATTTAGTTGGAGATCTTTTCAT